TTATGGACGTCCACGTCAGAAGGTAATGATCAGTCGCGGGGCCTGGGGTCACGTGATGTGCCATCCCGCCAAGACAAGACATCCCGCCAAGCATGGGATGGCAATGGGATTAGGGATGGCATGCCATCACAGACATCCGCCAAGGAGCAAGAAAATGGGATGGACGGGATGGCAGGACTGGAAGCAATGAGGATATAAGGATGGATGGATTTCATTATTACTCTCGTTGTGGTCAACTCAAATTGTACTTTCTTACTAGTATCTTTACTTAACAAGATTGTCACAAGTTAGTCTATCAAATAGATTAGTCTTGTCAAACCCTCCTTAAGCACGCCAACTCCACTGCATCGCCAGACAAGCCTCACGGAACACTAACGTAATACTCACCTGCCTTAGTGCGGACCAGGATAGAGAAGTATAGACCCTTACCCCGTGTAACATATAGTTAGTTGTATGTAAAAAAATTGTATTTAAGATCATTATAGACTCATAAAGTAATTTGTGCAAAGCGTGGAAGGCAATGTATACCTGCTAATAGTGTCTTGTTTACTGTCTCTTGCATGCCTACTACAAGTTCCTGTCCCATTATTGTTTGCTGTAACCGTGTGAGACCCTCGCCTGCAAATACAGGCAAATGAGGTTGCCAAGGATGAAGCTCGTGCGCTTATCCGACATACTCGCACAAATCACGACATAACGTCGCATTAGCGAGTGTTGGTGGCGTCTGTTGAAACCGAGCCAGCAAGTGCTTAGCGTGGGGGCCGACTCCACTCGTCTCGGTAGTCAAAGCCGCGGAAGACGCGCTGCCCACGTGGATGAACGTAGTCTTTCGCCATATCGGAACAAGCTTGAAGCTGGTCATTCGACATTGATAGGGCTCAAGCTGCGCCCGCTCGTGTTGTTGCGCTGCCAGCAACTAGCGATATAGACATAACCTACAGGCATCTAACATAACGGCGAAGTTGGTCAAGTCCTCGATGCCTTGGAATGCGATATAGAAGTACTGTCAATTTCCATAGTTCCCCTGAAAGTTGTCGATGATTGCCAGCACCTTGGCACAGTCTACCAATATTTTTGGGACACCACGAACGATGTCAACACTTCCTCTAACACCCCCTTGCTTATGGCTTGCATATCTTAGATTAAAAGTTGGCCTTAAATGTATATTTAGACAGCTAAGATGAACAGATTGCAGCCCTACTCCAGCCGGAGCTACGTCGGAAAGGCTCCGAGTCGCTTAGTACCTACCGGTAATCCTAAGCGGGAGCTCGTTCTCTCCGCACCTTTCACGCATCGCCATAACTCTTCGTTTGATCCGAATGGTGGACTCCGAGAATGGCACACACAACTGGTTTCTGCGACTTCTGCTACGTGAACGTTTTGGGGGCGAAGAACTCATGGGGTTACCATCACCCAAGCGCATCGTCCCTTACGAGCTCTGCTCGCCGAGGCTGCACCTTCTGTAGTCTTCTGCATGAAGACGTTCTAATACATCGCTCGCTCCTACACAGACATGAGCACCAGAATACTAGCTTAAAGCGCTTTCTGCATGAGGATGTGGCGAGAGTCGACAAACTACAGCCAGGCCAGGGCTCGGTCGTATCTTTACACCGATGGAGTATCCGTAGCTTGGGACGTACCCGAGAGACTAAACACGAAGTGGTAATAACTTTTCGAATTGTACCAAGGCAACTCGATGATGAGAACAACGAGCATCAAAAGGGAAAGCCACGAACCTTTGGAATACCGGAACGAGATTTCTACTGTTTTCTCGAAGAAGAGGTTGATGGTTTATTGTCTGCCGCTGAGCTCGGCACGAGCACAAATCCTGCGTTCAATGGTGGTCAGCAGATCAAGGACTGGATTAGGGCCTGTGGTATTGGACACAAATACTGTCCTAAGCGCGCTGGCTCGGGGAGCAAGTTCATCCCCACACGACTACTACACATCGGCGGCCACCGTGCAGGGGATCGCCTGCGAGTAGTCAATACCAAGCTTAACAATGTCCAGGGACCTTACGTCACCTTAAGTCACTGTTGGGGTAAAGCTCCGTTAGTGACTCTGAACTCTAGTACTCTCGAAGAATTCATGCTTGTCGGTTTGCCGTGGCGTAAACTATCCAACAATTTTAAGCAGGCCATCGAGGTGGCGTGGTTCCTCGAAGTTGACTACATTTGGATTGATTCTCGTAAGCTCCCATTATAACGCCAAAGAGATAGTAGAAGCTGACATTGGCCTGGTTGATTCAGTCTGTATCATGGTACTATTATCATTCTTCCTGATAGGCCATGCTGACGACTGTATAGCAAGGAGACGCTGACGACTGGAAGCGCGAAAGCTCTCGGATGGAACAAGTGTATAGAAGCTCATTCTGCAACATCGCTGCTGCTGATTCAGCGGATGGTGCTGGAGGTCTTTTTCGCCAAAGAGAAGCGCGGGATGTCGTACCAGCTACTCTGGACCTCGATGACGTGTCTCATATCCTGGGTAAGCGACGGTGGGTAGTTATACGTGGCGATCTGTGGGATCAAGGCCTTCTCGAGAAGCCATTGTACAAACGCGGTTGGGTTTATCAAGGTCAGTGTCTCTGAGAAACTCCGAATGCTTGCCTAACAGTCTCCAGAGCGTATGCTTGCACCTAGGATCTTGCATTTCAGCAAACACCAGATCTTCTGGGATTGTACCGAGATGAGTGCTTGCGAAACTCTTCCGGCTGGGTTGCCTTTGCCTTTAGACCAGCAGTCAGCAAGGGATCGCCATTGGCGTGGGCGTCTACAGGAGAGTACAAGGGGTACGAAACTGCTTTCTGGGGTCAATGACGACTCGCTCGATGACCTATGGAGATCAACAGTAAGAGACTACACGAGTCTTGACCTCACTAATCAGACCGACAAACGTATGGCAATTTGGGGTGTGGTAAAAAGGCTTCGTGAAATACGAAGCGAAGAGTACGTTGCTGGAATGTGGGAGGGAGCTCTTGAGGAGCAGTTGGGTTGGAGAGTTGTAGACTGCACAACCAGTAAACGACCTTCGGAGCTGAACATAAACCCAACCTGGTCTTGGACTTCTATGCAAGGGACGGTATTGAACCCAGATAGATCGGCTCGGTGGCAAAGAAGCTACATTATTCGAGATCACGGTGGCGATAGGATCTGGTTTGACATTGGTGACCAAGGAATTCGACCAAGATTGCCGAGAAAAAGTTCGGAAAGCCCTAGCGATATGACAAGAGAACTGGACTTAATCAGCGAGAGGCGGCGTTCAAGTGCGACGACACGTACGGGCTCACAGCCAGACGTATTTGGATCTTTAGACGCTGCTCAAAACCCTCGCCCCCTGCTTAGGACAAGGACTTCATCGCCGCTACGAATGGAACACACTCCTCGTATACCTAGTTCGAAGCAAGGAACGCAATCTTCCAATGCACAGCAAAATTCACAGGCGTCTTCTGATGAACGACGCGAACTAGAGCCAACCCTGAAAAGTAATAAAATTGCAATGCAAGGCTTTCTACACGTAGGCCGTCTGAGCCAAAATCAACCCCGCTCATGGTCTTTGGAGATTTCCCACGCATTCGACGAGACCGATGAGATTGACGCGTTTCCCGATCTTGTCCCGAGTGTGGACGACCTCGAAACGGTGTTTGTTGTGCTTGCATTGACAGAACGCCCCAACAAGGTCGAAACAGATACCATGGCGGAAGAAGTTTGGTTTGAAGGTCATGGTATCTTATTACAAGAGGCAAACGAGCCTTGGTGCTTTCGGCGGACCGGTGCCCTTAACATTCGCCATCTGAGCTACAAGACTTGGCAACACCTTCGAACAACGAGCAGCAGCTTACCAGGCTCCATAATGGAGACGGACACAACTCCTTGCAAGAACTTTTACATAGAGTGAGATGCAGGATTACATGTCACAATTGCCACCTGATTAGCTGTCATCAATCGGGTCTGACTATGTTATCTCTAAGCCATGCAATGAAAACCAGTTAGATTTCTAGACAGGCAAAAAAGCAGAGAGATGCTGTGGAAGTGATAGACTATAAGCACACATAGTAAACTGGAGGCGACATGGTGGTTTCACAACGACACTCGTACATGTCCAAAGGTGTACTGTTCTACGGCACCTGGATAACTTTGGTACAAAGACCGCGGACCATCCCAGCTAACTCTTCCGGCTCAAGGATTGAGATGCATGTCACTCCTTACATACACTCCTCTATAGAGTGAAATGGCTCGATGTTACCAACATACGTGTCAAGCTATTCGTACGCTAAGCTGAAGTGTTTACTGCACTACTGCCGCCCGAAGTCTCCACACTTCAACTGAGAATGCGCCAGCACATTAGAGTTCAGTAAAAATCATATGAAGAGAAATTTGATGCATATTAGCGCTGTATATCACACTATTGACTTCCGACATAGATGTATTGTTTTGCAAGTAGCCAGATGGCAAGTAGGCATGTGTTGTGTATGCTCAAGCAAGCCTCTTTGCATCTTGAAGCATTTTGTATCTGCAGTAGCTCACAATGACGTCTACTCTATAAGATTTTGAACAACTCTACTCTGTCTACTGGAAGTCCAGACCCGTCTCTTCCGGCGGTGAAATTATTGGCGATGAAGAAAAGACCAATCCCAGCTCCATGAAAGAATCTGATGACTCACGCCTAGAGCTTGGTATTGATGATTGAAAAGCTGACAACTGCCGAGGTAACGTTGACTGAAATGTATGCGACTTGGGGACCTTGGACGTCGGCAATTGTGCATACGCCCAAATCAAGTCCTCGTTGTATTCTTCGTTCACAAACAACCAGAAAAGGCGATGACACGCTGCAATCGTGGATTCTCGACCGAGAAATGGCGGGGCAATGATCGTGAGATATCCATTCGCGGACTCCACCACATCTTCTGGACTGCGAGATGGCATTATACTCATGCGTGGATTGCGAGTTCGCTCTCGCAGTAGGTTGGCAAGGCGGGATAGGGGCAAACCTGGAACCGCATCTCCTTTCCTGCCCACTGCTGCAATAGTCTTGAGAGCTACCGAACCGCTGTTAGCCGATTGTTGCTTGATCGTTTTGATCGCGGTGTTGAAATGAGCTTGGATATTTCTCGGTATACGTTTTGGCATGAGATCGAGGGCCTCAGGGGAAGGCAGGCTGTGAATTCTGTCAACGGCAAGCTTTGCTTGCAGAATACTTCCGTCAACATAACGTGCGATTTTTTGTATCCAATCATGACCTTTGTTACCGTGCATGGTATTGCTAAAGGCGAGCCCGAACGACGATAACGGAGGTTCTGATGGATCCTCCAAGGTCATGAATCCTAGATCACCATGCTCCCTTTCGAGATCCCATGCTAGGTACTCTGCCATGGCATCGTCAGACATGCCATCGAGCGTCAGAGTGTAATAATCTGGGGCCTTCCAAGTACCTACCGAATCGCTGATTATGGAGTTAGATAATGTTATTGTCATGGCTCATATTTCATCTGGGTATTTTCCAGGGCGAACTGTACTTACCACTGCTGACAAGGAGTGTCTTCCCTCTTGCAATTAATACAAATATCCTTTTGCTGGCATTTAGAGCAGCGCCAAAAAACCTGGAGGGGCGAGTCTTGCGGGTGATAATCGCACCAAATGATGATTGCTGGTTCATGCCTGGGCAATCGTGACGTGACAAGTATCTTCAGTCCCTCATCCTGCAGGATATTGAACTGTTGCTGTACCAGTTCCCGTAGCGCTGGACTGCACTGGTCTAGATGGTCGATGATAAGCACCACATCTCCCTTTCTGACCAACTCCGCAGTCCTTAAGCGGAGTGCTTGTGCAATAGAGTTAATCCGTTTCGAAACTCTCTGCCCTGTGCGCAGCAATTCCTTATATGCGCCGTACGCCACATTTGTCGCAGGATCGACATCGCAGCTAGGAGGCGACACTTGGTTGTATATCGTATCCAAGAGATCCTCTAGAAAGGCAAGTTCATTCTCGATTCTGTGATGGTTGATGAAGATGTTGGCAAGCTGGAAGGTCTGCTCTTCTGAAGCCCATATGCTTTCTCTCAAGCGTTTGGCTACTAGTGCTGCGAACGTTGTCTGACTATGCCATGAGCATCTTCGTCAGCGCTCTAGACAGAGACTGACCTTTCCGGCCCCCGGCCCGCCAACAACATGGAGTTGCCAATGGTCTTTACACTGTAGCCACTCGACAAAGAGCTCGCTGGCAAGTATACTATCAAATAGTTGTTCGTAGATGTCGGACGTGATAGGGAAAGACTCTTGGATCGCTATGTGAACGACCATGTCTCGTGCAAAGACGTCGCCATCATCTTTACTTGTGGTCTGCCCAATAGCGAACATGCTGTTTCGACGAGTGAAGCTCCACTGATCGAGCCGTATTGACCTCAACAAAGCTGCGTCCTGAGAACCTAAAATCTATTGTGTAAATGCACGTGTCCTCGCAATGAGTGTGACCGAGTTGTGGCAGGTCAAGTGATGTACAGCCTAGATCAGGCTGACTGCATAATATCGATTTCCCATAGATGGCGTACGTAGAATGGGGAAGGTTAGCGTTGCGGAGCCCCTGTTAGAATCAACTTGGGGGCCAAGTTTGGGGGCCAAGTTTGGGGGCCAACTTCACCTTTAGAGGCAAGTATCCAGCTGACGGCGAAGATTGACCGGTCGTGTAAGGATCTTGGAGCAAATTTGCACACACCGATGGGCTTGTATCACCGTAGTTTGCATTGACCTCATAAATGCTACATAACGGTCTTGGCAATACTTAGTTGGTACGCCCCGTCACGAAGCGACCTCGCAGGCAGTGCGCGCAGCTGCCTTACAGCCCCAAACATAATTTCTCCATGACATGGTCCCCTGCAGGTGGCTTCTTCAATGTGCTGCATTAAGACTGCTGAGTAACAGGGCTACTCGGGCGAGCATGCAGCCTTACTAAATATGATCCCTTTCCCGCAATGAACTTGACGACTCCATCCCAGACGACTTGCCATCACCACCTTCGAGATGCTGTTCCGAACATCAGCCCTCTCGGTAGCGGTGTTAAGTAGTATACATCTCTCAGATGCGCTATCGATATCGACGCCCGACAGTCCTTACAATAAGATTCGTGCCCGCCAGGAAGATACCGAAAACCCAGAAGCGAGTGCTTGCGGCTATATCATCGACGCCGTCAATGATGGATACGCTTACCACTATGCATACGATGCATACTCTTGTCTGACCAGTGTACCTTTCAACCCTGCTGTTGCCACTCGCTTCATCACGTACATCAACGACACTGTGCAGTTTCAAAGCACTCTTGCATATCTCCGGGAACCCCCAGCTGAATATCAGCAGCCCGCTGTCGACATTCTGTCAGGATTGACACAAATTCAGAACAATATCACGGCACAGGTCTACAAGAACCAATATCAATTCGAGGTTGACGTACAGAATTTGCTGGATAGAGCTCATGATGGCCACATGTACCTGAGAGGCGGCATTATGGCGGCTTTCTCCTTCCTCGCGCCGTATTCCATCACCGCTGCCTCGCCGGACGGTGCAAGTCTACCGAAGCTCTACATCACAGACGACCTAGTAAAAAGCCGAGACGAAGGTTGGACGCCTTCTGCAATCGCTACAATCAATAGCATGGATGCTGTCGAGTACGTCACAAAATTGGCAAGCATCAATGCCGTTGGTGGCATAGAACCAAATGCCGACTGGAACCAATTGTTCTACACACCCGCCCTGGCCATCCAGGGATCCGGTGGTATCTGGGACAGTGGCGTACGCTTTTATCCAGGAGACGAAATTGAGCTGGTCATGGAGAACGGAACCGACTACATTGATTACTGGCTTGCGCTCTGGAAGGAGCCGTACAAGACTGGCCCACTCACGACTGGCGGAGATCTCTACAACTACTTCGTTCTGAACCTCTTGCCCGCCTCGTATGACCCGAGCGGAAGCTTTTACAACCCAGCATATGCTCCCGCTGAAGATCCCGTGAACACAACTGAACCTGTTGTCGTGCCTACACCTGAGCAGTCTTGGACTAGCATATCTAGCGGAGCATATCCCAATCCTGATGTTCGACAAGAGGGTCTCGCAGTTGTCACCGATGGCATTATTTCCGGCTACTTCCTACCGCAGGTCAATGCTGCGACACTCAGCATCCCTTCGTTTGCACAATACTCTGACTCCATCGGGGACTTTAGCAGTGCTGTAGGAGACTTCATCAGCAATACAACCAAACAAGGCTTGAAGAGAGTTGTGATAGACCTTCAGCAGAACACCGGTGGTACCGTGGAGCTTGCCTTTAGCACTTTTAAGAGATTTTTTCCGAACGTGGATCCCTATGCAGGAAGCAGGCGCCGAAATCATCATCTCGGAGGCATTATCGGCGAAGCATACACATCGTACTTCAATAGTCTTGATCCTAGTGATCCTGATTATGAATACTTTCTGGCTGCTGAATGGGTGGCTACGTCCAGACTCAACGCTGCAACAGGCCAAAACTTCACTAGCTGGGCTGAATACACAGGACCTGTACTGGAAAAGGGCGATTCCTTCTCGCTCACAGTATGTTACCAGCCAGTTCTTATGCAATAGTTAGATCTAACAGAGGCTAGGAGCGTTATAATCTTTCGAACTCTGCGTTCACTTCAGCTTTGTTCGAAGGCTGGGTGCCGTTGGGTTATTCTCCTGATAGTCCCCTGGAATACACGACTCCACCATTCGCGCCTGAAAATATTGTCATAGTAAGTATTATGGCTTATAATCAATTACTAAGGCTGACAAGTATTAGTTGACAGATGGAGCTTGTTCATCCACATGCGCTCTTCTGGTCGAGATGTTCAAGCAGGTCGGTGTTCGAACCATTGCAGTAGGTGGACGTCCAGCCACCGGTCCCATGCAAGCTGTAGGAGGTATGTTCAAGAGTGCTGGAATACGCCACTATATCACCACTGACGCACATTGCTTTAGGAAATCGTGGTGCCGCAGTTTACTCCGCTGATAGAATCGACTATGACCTCGATATCATCACATATCCTGGGTTCAATGTCGACAATGCCACATTGGCCACTGTTCCTCAGCTCACCGACGATGGCTACCGAGATTCTGGTGTCTTCACAGCAGCCTTTGGCATCAACCTCAGGGACCAGGTCCGACCCAACGATACAGAGCCGCTCCAATTCAAATACGAACCCGCCGATTGCCGCATCTTCTACACCCTAGCAAATGTGTTCAACTACACCCGCTTGTGGTCTGATGCTGTCACAGCCATCTTTGACGACAATTCAAAGTGTGTCTCAGGCTCCACAGGCTTTTCGAGCTCAAACAAGACTGCGCCAGAACCTGCGCCAGCCGCACCAGCTCCACTCAGTCTCGACACCGCCCAGCCTGATGCTGCAATAGACAGTGAGGACCTCGATGAGTCAGGCGGTCCGCAAAACGCAGGAGCGCCTGCACAGAGCTTCACCATCGACTACTGCTCGCCCACTGGAACCTGTGCATTTCCCCATGTCCAGCGATGCGAAACTGTTACAGCGACCATCTGCGGCACCCCCGGCAAATACCAATTATGTCTCCCACAGACACAAGACCCAAGCTTGTGTGACCCTGCAGTTGCAGAGTGGGAGCAAACTTTTGTCGAGGCAGGGCGTGGTAATCTCAAGCGAAGAGCTCTGCCTTCTTCTTTGGTGCCACAGAGGAGGCCTCCTCCTTCCACAAGCGAGCCAGTGGGTGGAGCGCCTGCGTCGGGCCTCAGGGCTGGTGTGACGAGAGCCAATGAACCGCGGCTACAAGTCAAGAAGTATGGGCATTGTAGGCCGAAGAAAGGTAAGAACTTGAAGACTCGGAGATGCCGTAATGGATAAGTACTTGAGACGATGTAATATATCCAGGCTGGGTGGCCAAAGCCTGTGGAGACTGCTGCATACACCGTAATATCACTAGAAGTATAATATATATGTATACATCACCTCGACTCTCCTTATGTCCGCGTGATGCACGTCAAGGGCATTTGTAGAGTAACTTCATCGATATCTGCAAATCTTGCTTACTTCAGGTTTATCCCTTTGTCTACTCACCCTCTTCTCCAAACCCATCACTCACATTAGTAGGACTAATGCTTATCCCATCAATGAATACTCTTCGATTTGGCGTTCACTTCGGGTAAAGGTCAGCAATACCATTCTGGAGGATGTTAACATGAAAAAAAGATACGCAATGACACGGTTGGTAACCACTGGCAAGGTTTGGCCTTGGCATGAACCTGAATGCTGTTAGCAGTAACTCGATATGTGGCAAATCGGACAAGTGAACTAATTCTCAGTTTCCAATGGTCCTATATACTAGAATGATCTTTTTATAGAAACATATGTTCTCAAGGAACAAATGTACTAGCGATCTCTGGATGTTGGAAGGGTACTCACGTGAAGCATCACGTGATGTTATCGATATCCCAAACCTAGCTTGACACTACCCCACGGATAGAATGGATAGAACATAACTACTTTGCACCCACTTTGCACCTACTGGAGGGGCTCTGGCTAAAAAAGAAAAGAAGAAAAACTACAAAGAAGTGGTATTTCAGTTTTACTTCAGATAAAGCTCTAGTTACGTGAGAGCGTGGGTGTGAAGTTCGTTTCTCGCAACCATATATAAGAGTGATGATGGTACATCTTGAACTCCGCTAGCAACACGCCATGGTCTTCAACTCACCTTTTGGTGCCTCTACCTCTAAACCCGGCCATGGATCTATCATCATCAATTTGTTATCCCAAGACAAGCCAGTCCTTGGGACAGTCTCGTATCAATATCCACTCAAGCTAGTTGCGCCAGACCCTCTGCCACCACCAAGCCATGACGACCAGGGAAACAGCAAGACTGGGCCTCCAATTCCAAGTCTGATACACACAGTCTTCCTACTCACCTACGGCGGTGGCATTGTCGCCGGGGACAGTATCGACTTGGAGGTCAAATTGGATAGCAAGGCTCGGCTCATCCTGTTAACCCAAGGCTCGACCAAGATCTTCAAGACACCCAGTCCAGAGCTGGTCTCGCAACAACACATGACAGTGCATCTGAAACACGATTCTGCCTTGGTCTATCTTCCAGACCCGGTCCAGCCATTTGCCCACACAGCTTTTTCCCAATCCCAGATCTATCATCTCGACAAAGGCCAAGGCAATATTTGTGTGTGCGACTGGGTCACGAGTGGTCGCTCTGCACGGGGGGAGAATTGGGACATTTTCGAGTACAAGAGCCGGAATGAAGTGTGGACACTCGACGAGGCAGGGAAGAAGAGGCTTCTTGTACGGGACAACCTGATTCTAGACAAACATGGTAGAACTGGGATGCCGCTCGCCTCACGCATGGACAATTACTCTGTCTTCGGTACCGTGATTATTCGCGGACCAGTTTTCTCGTCACTCTCCAAGTTCTTCTTGGACGAATTCGAGGCACTGCCGCGTATTGGTGGTAGAAATTGGGGGGACAGCGTGCAGCCCGAACTCCTGCCACACGAGCAAAGGCGATATACAAGGCAGCAGAGAGAAAAGGCGGATGGTCTGATATGGAGTGCAGCAAATGTCAGGGGCTTTGTGCTGGTCAAGTTTGCAAGCAGGGAGGTTGAGGGCTCAAGGAATTGGTTGAGGGACATGATCAAGGAAGAGAACTCGGTGCCGAGGCTCTTTGGGGAGAGAGCGCTGTTGTGCTTGAAATGAGACGTGCATGAGGAATGAACAACTAGACAGCAGCCAGATAGCAGAAGTCATTCATCCGACATGTTGCGCTGTCTAGTCCATGTGTTGTCCGTCTTGAGTTGGCGAGACGACTGGAGGGGAGCCCTGGAGCTGCCCCACGCGGGCGCATGGCCCAAGCACCTTTGCTCAGCGCACCGAAAGTCGAGTGTGACGTGCATAGCCGCCTCTTCGAGAGCGTGCAACGTTGCCAACCGTGTGTGATAGCAAGACACCAGATCCTATGCTACACCAAATCCCTATCCTCGCCCTCTCGTCGTCGCAAACATGAGCGGCAGGCTCGTTGCGGGCCGCCTTGCCCCCCTCGCACGCCGTTCACCGCTCCTCACTCCACGCTTCTACACTACACATTCGCTCCCTGCCGGCGGACTCTTGCGAAATGAGGCCGCGCTCAGGCTTGTGAAGCGCCGGCCATGGCCCCTCGGTAGCTACGCACTGCACAATGTCCCTGCCACGCGATCGATATCTTTTGCAAGAGTGATACCCAAACTCGTGGGCAAGTTTGCGACTGTGGGTGCCGCCACCGGAGGGGCTATCATCGCTGGTGCCTCGTATATCCAGTACCAGGCAGGCCAGGCAGGCACCTTTGCAATCGACCTCTTCCACCGCACCAAGGACGGCGCCAGCGAGTTGGCTGGCGGGGCAATTAATACTGCAAATGGATTCTTTGATCAGATAGAGAAGGGGTTCAAGTCGACTAAGGACGAACTTGAGAACGTACAATACCCGGAATGGCTACAAAAAATTCTCGCCAAAGATGATTCAGGTGACGCAGGAGGCAATGGTGGTGGTAGAGGTCCGGAGGAGCCCAAACAGGGCGGCTCTGGCACTGCCGCAGCCGGTGCATCAGCTGCTGCTGCTTTTGGATACTCTCAGGAAGACGACGGTGATGAGGACAGACAAAACGGAGAAAAGATTGCGCGGGACGAGCAAATGATGATGCTCACCAAGAAGATGATTGAGATACGTGGACTGCTACAGACTGTGGGACAATCCGAATCACTCACACTGCCGTCCATTGTTGTCATTGGATCACAGTCCTCCGGAAAGAGTTCGGTCCTCGAGGCTATCGTTGGCCATGAGTTCCTCCCCAAGGGCCACAACATGGTTACCCGTCGACCCATTGAGCTGACGCTCGTCAATACCCCTGACGCGCGTGCAGAATACTGCGAGTTCCCTGCTATTGGACTAGGCAAGGTGACGGACTTTGGTCAGGTCCAGAAGACACTGACAGACCTCAATCTCGCTGTACCGGCCAGCGACTGTGTGTCCGACGACCCCATTCAGCTGAGGATTTACTCACCAAACGTGCCAGATCTCTCCTTGATCGACCTTCCAGGGTATATCCAGGTCGTTGGCCGGGACCAGCCGCCACAACTCAAGGAGAAGATTGCCCAGCTTTGCGACAAGTATATCAGGGCACCCAACGTCATTCTCGCCATTTCAGCGGCCGACGTAGATCTGGCCAACAGCACCGCGCTGCGAGCATCGAGGAGAGTGGACCCCCGTGGTGAGAGGACCATTGGCGTAATTACAAAGATGGATCTTGTAGATGCCGACCGTGGCGCTAGCCTGCTGAACGACCAAAAGTATGCTCTCCGTCTGGGATATGTTGGAGTCGTGTGCCGTGTACCCCCTGGCGCAGGTGGCTCTAAGCTCTTCAGCCGCGGCAACGGCAACATCTCTAACGCCATCACAAAGAACGAGAATGCATACTTTTCATCACACCCCGAGTTCTCTGAACGGCCAGAGCTCGCCGTGGGTACTCAGAACCTCAAGAAGAAGCTCATGCATGTGCTTGAACAGACCATGGCTGGCAGTCTTAAGACGACTAGCGAGGCTATTCAAAGAGAGCTTGAAGAGGCAAGGTACGAGTACAAGGTGCAGTACAATGAACGACCTATTAGCGCCGAGTCGTACCTGGCCGAGTCACTCGATGCATTCAAGCACTCATTCCGCGGCTTTACAGAACAGTTCGGTCGCCAACAAGTTCGGGACCTACTCAAGCACGAGCTAGATCAACAAGTACTTAACTTGCTTGCACAACGCTACTGGAACAGGCCTTTTGATGACCTCAACGTTCCATTTCCAGAAACCGATCCTCTGAGCAACCTTGTAAAGGCAGACATCGATGGAGAGGACCAGATCTGGCGAATCAAGCTCGACAGCTCCAGCGCTGCCCTGACAAAGCTTGGTGTTGGACGGTTGGCGACCAATGTTGTTGCAAGCGCACTTCAAGCTCACATTGACCGTCTCATCACAAACTCACGCTTTGCCGCGCACCCTTTTGCTCGACAAGCTATTACCGACGCGTCGAACTCTATACTTAAAGACCTCTCTTATGATATTTCGGATGAGCTAGAGATTTGCATCAAACCGTACAAATACCGGATTGAAGTCGAGGACAACGAATGGGCCAAGGGCCGAGAGAACGTGACTGCGGTGCTCAAAGAAGAATTAAAGGTTGTAGAAGCAGCCGTCAAGCAACTCGAGGACCAAGTTGGTGGCCGCAAGAAAGTCAGAGATGTCATGACCTTTATCGACCGCGTGCGAAGCGGCCAGGTTGTCTTGGAAGGCGATGGTGTTGGTGGAGCTGGTGGCTTCAGTTCTGCACTTCTAGCAAAGGGTACGTCCCTAAAGTTTCTCACGTTAACACAGATATACTAACGATTCCATCAGGCCGTGAAGCAGTCTTCCTCCGCGACCGCATCGACGTGCTCAAACTCCGCCTCACAGCCATCAAGAGCAAACAATGCGCCAGCAAAAAGAACAAATACCACTGCCCAGAAGTCTTCCTTGATGCTGTTGCAGACAAACTAACCACAACCGCGGACCTCTTCCTCGACGCTGAATTGCTCTCAAAATTCTACTACATTGTAAGCTCTTCCTCCCTCCCCCCTTTCCCACTCATCTAACCTTTCTTTGCTATAGTTCCCCCGCGAACTCGACGCGCGCCTCGGCCGCGGCCTCTCACAAGACGAAATCGAGCGTTTCGCAAAGGAAGATCCAAAGATCAAGCGTCATCTCGATGTCGTGCGTCGCAAAGACCTGCTCGAGCATGTGCTCAAGGAGATGGAAGGGCTGCGTCAGTTGGAGCAGAGGGAGAAGCGTATGATGGGTCGTAGGGAGGAGAGGGGGGATCGCGAGAGGAGGAAGAAGGGGTGGAGTATGTTTTAGATTCCATTGCTCTTCTGTGTTCCCAGGGTAGAGCTTTTTCTTTTCTTTTCTTGACGTTGAAATGAGGAATAAGACGGAAAACATGCTTGATATGATGACGGTGGCGAGGAGAGGAAATACATGTACCACACGGCCTCTTATTACTCTTTTTTTTATTTTCTCAACTCCCCACAGTGTGCGCCGTTGTACACATGTATATCAAAAGTTACCGCTTTATAAACTGTATGGCACTCATGGTGTATGCAATACTCGTGTGTGTAAAAACTGTTCTTGTCCATGTGCTAAAAAAAAAGGGGGGGGAGGGGGGATGTTACGATTGGCACAAAGAAAGTAGAAGTAATCAAGTGGCAAGATTTTTATAGATTCCATCTAAATATTCGTTCCTCGTCTCTCTTGACATGTCGAAATCCTTTACATGATAAAAATCGTAGATAAGGGGGTATCTTTAAAGAAAAGAAAAAAAACGCAATGCGCAAAGCAAACAGACAACAAGATTCATCACAAAACACCCCAGTGTTTCTTAACACGCCAATCCAACTCAGTCATACCCTTCAGATCATCGCCGTTGAGGTATCCTACCCCCTCCTCAACGAGGACCCTCCAGATACGATTGCGCAGGCCAATGGGCCACTTGGGGGCGCTCCAGTAGCGGGATTTGAGGCCGCGCTCCTCAGCTGTGCGGATCTGATCGCGGATTTTGGCTAGCTGGGCAGAGGACAAGCGGCCGAACCAGAGCCAACCGACCGTCGTGCCAAAGTTGACAGAGGCGTAGTAAGAGTTTGTGCTGTCAAAGTGGGAATTGGGGGTTGTGCCGACGGTGCCTTGGCCGTCGGGGGTAATGGTGTTTGAAGAGGAGGATGTGGTGTTTAGTTTGTCGAGGGGTGCGTCGAAGAAGATGTCGCGGTAGGTGGAGTTTGCGGTGATGAGGTCGAAGGGGGCATTACCGGTGGCGACGACGGTTATGGCGCCCGAGACGACAGATGTGCCGTTGTAGTAGGTTAGGTAGCCTTTTTCGCGAAGGGCGGAGAGATGGTTGGATACTACGGGGAAGATGGCGTGGCCGTCGTTTTTGAAGTCGATGAGGAGGACGAGGGTTTGCGAGGGTTCAGTGTCGAAGACGCCGTTCTTGGTTGTGGATGCAGTTGCGAAGTCGCTTACGTTGTTCTTGTGGTCGAGCATTTTCGTCAGAGGATCGACGTACATGGATCGGAAGGTGTTGTTCTGCGTGAGGGCGTTTGTGTTGTGGCCAACAAATAGTTCATCATCGAAGAGCCAGACGTCGGCTTCGACGCCAGTGCAGCCCCAATGGAGGGCGTCGTACAGTGGGACCCGGCGCCAGTAGTCATTGTGTGAGTGGCATGGTACAGGCGTTACGTCACGTGTAATGTCCAGTCGTTGCGCCTCGTCGTATTGATTCCAATCCAAGCCTGGTAGTGCATGGTCGTCGAGGAACACAGGAACGTATCCAAGTAGCACATTGACAATGTGAAGGACGCCACTACGAAGGTTAGCTTGCTGGGCTTTGGGTCACGAGGGAATGCGGGGTTCTGGCGTCAAGCGAGACTTGTACAACGGACACTTACAAGAAGATGATTACCAATAGCGGGATGACAGCAAAGGCTCTGACAGCATGCTTCCTTTGGAATCGGTATCTGGGGGTTTGCTTCTTTTCGTCTGGTAATCGCACAAGGCCAAAGTCATCATTGGCGCGCGGCTTTCCATTCCGTCTCCGGATGCTCATTCTCAGGCGTTGCCAAAAAGTCGGTCGTCGGGGTATTATGTCGTCGTCGTCTTCATCAGAGCTATACTCTGCACCATGCCCATCCTCGAGCTCATGCAGGGGATAAGGTGGTGCACGCTGCTTGGCGAAGGAAGGGGCTGGGCTGGGAGAGGCGTGGCGCAAGAGAGGCTGGGTGGTGAGTGGTCGCGATGTTGCAGCCATGTCAGGCACGAGCCAATTGGCAGCGGGGATCTCACAAGATCTGTCAACTGGACCCTGAGCGTGGGGCAAATGCAACTGGAAGCGACTATGCAGCGCCCTTGTTAGTTATTCGTTGTCGTCGTCGTAGTTTGGAGCAGCAATGGAGGGGACAAGGTGCGTCTAAAAGCACTTTGCGGCTGCAAAGAGAAAATCCAGGTTTCAAGACACCTTCCTGTTCGATAGCTGGGCAATGGCGCTGCAGACGTCCCGCTACGAGGTCCAGACTGTTGATGGCGGCGACTGTGCGTTTGAGGCTGCTAGTAAACCGGGGAAATGCACGTCCACGAGTTGTCGATAAGAGCCGCGTCCAGATGCAGGAACCACGGCCGTCGACGGTGGCCAAGTGGCGCCCAGGTGGTGCCAGTAAGCTGGAGTAAAACGAAAGGAGGTTTGGGGTGGGTATGTGCAAGTGCAAGAAACAGGACGGGTGTCAGAAGCTTCTTATTGCGAAACGGGGTGCGACCAGCCAAACCAGCCGCGAAACGGGGTGCAAACTACCAAGGGAGCCGGTGTGGGGAAGACAACCAAAGTTTGGAAAGGATGCGTGCAAGCCTTCCGCAAGTGTGCTACGCCGTGGGCAGGAGTTGTGCAGTCTGGGAGCGAGTACAGGCACGCAACCTCTTGCGGGCTTCTGATTGGTGGATAGAAACAAGAGTTGCAGACAGCTTAGGCAAAGGGCAGTGCCTCAGGTGGGCATGCAGCTGAGCATGCAGCTGAGCAGGTGATGACGATAGTTATAGCAGCAGAAGAGCACGTTTGTTCAGCTTACTCGGCTAGTGGACATGGGCGGAGTACACACCGTCGCTGTCGGTGTACACTATACAGTAAGTATATACGCAGAGCGTGCTGGATGGCGTGGTCGCTGAGGAGGGTGCGCATGTCAGACTGGTGCTGGACGAGCAGTCGGACCGAAGTCTGTCGCAACGGGTTCCAAATAATGTCATTAGTTGCGAAACTATGGATTGAGCCTACTGTGTACGTATTGTTGCGGCATTTTGGGCATGTGGATGCGAGCTTGCAGGCCTATGGGAACCATGTCCGCGTATGCGCGGCGCTTTCGGAGCCACTGTGTCGTGTCAGCCACACCGTCCGGGCGGTGCTATTTGGCCGTCAAGCCACAGGCAATAATTTTCTGCACACCTTATTTTGGTTTAAAGTGCAGAAAACACTTCCAAATCTAAACGCACTGCGGGGTTCAAGCCGCGTAACACTCGCTAAGCCTGCCAAGCATTGCAGGGTCCACGTCTTCTTTCTCCAACATCCCTGCCCCATGTCACCAACTTTTTTGCGACCGCGACCGCGACCACCACCGCCCATTGCTGTATCCCATCTGACCCCCGCCGCCCGCCATGCCTCACAAGCACAGGCGCATCGAAGACGACGAGTCGCAGTACGTCACCCAACTGTCCGACTGCTGCCACCCCGCTAGCCCTAACACCACCCCGTAGATTCGACCTCCCACCCACCCTCCACGCTGCTCCTCTCGCTGTCGGCAAGGCCCGCACATTCAATAGCGCCCCAAAGACCAAGAAGCGAAAAGCAGCCCAAGTCGAAGGATATGGCGCAGACGACACCCCCAAGGCCTTTCAGCGCCTCATGGCCTTCTCCAATGGCGGCCAGAAAAAGCGCTCAGGCCTTGACGATGGCTCCGTGAAGCCCAAGAAGCAGAAGAAGGAGCAGCAGTCGGCGACAACCACAGACACAACCAAGGCAGAAAAGAGCACCAAGACCGACGAGCAGCCAACACAGCCAATCCCCGCATTGAAGATCCAGCCTGGAGAGTCCATGGCAGACTTCCGTGCCCGTGTAGATCAGGCCCTTCCATTGTCGGGTATCGCAAAATCTGGCAAGAAGATTGCCGGTCTAAGCGACCACCGCGTCACCAAGCACGAGCGGAGACTCAAGCGTCTACAAAAAGGATGGAGAGAAGAGGAAGCAAGGTTACGTGAAAAGGAAATGGAGCGAAGGGAACTAGCAGAGGAAGAAGAAGACGAGCTGGATGCCATGTGGGAAGACCACACCGCCGACCTCCCCACAAAGCGAACTGTAGACGGCAAGAAGAAGAAGGCCAAAAAGGGCAAGCGCAAGCTCAAGGTCGGCGAAGTCGCCCATGACAGCGAAGACGAATGGGAGGCCCTCAAGAAGAAGAGGGAGGAGAGAAAGGGACTCAACGACATCGTTCATGCTCCTCCAACATTCACAAAGACACCAAGAGAAATCTTCAAGGTCAAGAATGGTGCGGGTGCGAAGGTGGCTAACGTACCTAATTCCGCGGGTAGTCTAAGCAAGAGAGAGCAGTTGGGCGAGGAGCGCCAGAAAATGATTGATGCCTATCGGCAAATGATGGCTGCAAAGAAGGCATGATGCATAATAGAACCTATTTTTGCATTCCCCAACATGATTTCTTTTTTATGTAACAAAACACTCCGATATTTTCTATACCTAAACTCTCTCTCTCTCTCTCTCTCTCTCTCTCTCTTTTTTTTCCACCCCCTTGAATTCAGTTTTAGATATATTACATAACCCCCGCAACACCCAACATACGTTTTACAAAATTTCATTTGTATGCGCGTGGCGCACTTATCCGTCTTTCCGCTAGAAATAGTCTAGGCTACACACACTTATGTAGGCATATCGTATACCCACGGTCTAGATCTCCCCCTCGCTAACACGAAGCACTTTAAACAACGGAACAAGAGCGCGCTATGACTCGGTTATATCCGGGCCTTACTGGGAGTGGCCGCGTCACCTGCTCGTGACTAATTAATTAAGTTCTTTTGGAGTTATTGCGATCTTGTTTCTTGGTTTTTTTTAGGAGGGTTTTCTGGAAGGAATGAGGGGAGGGATGAATAGATGGAAGAGGGAGGGTATGTGGGTTTTGTTGAGGATGAAGCGCTGTGGGGCGGAAGTTTAGATGCAGGAAATGTCGTAATATAACTCATCTGCTTGTTCGAGATGGTGACGATGACGAATGCGCCTGTTTAATCTTTCTCTTCTTTTGTATGTGTATGTGTGTTTGTGCATTATGACGACAAGGGGAAGAGGTTTCGGGGTTTGTGTTTGATTGTACGTGGGGATAACAGAATCTTTTCATAGTGGGTTTAAAGTTTAGGTATATGTACTTGGTTCAACTACACGTGATGTATATTTTGAAATCCAAATATGTAGAACTAATGTACAACCAGAGATTGCAAATGGGGGACGGTTGTACCATGTAATACTATGCAGAATGCTACTCATCGTTGAACTGCTGATGGCTATTTCCGGAACAATGATAATGTTAGCAAATCCATGTCTGTATGGCTAATCTATGCACGCTCGCGTATATGAGTTTGATGATTCAAAGAGGAATCTATATCTTCGTTTTTGCCATATTTGTGTGTATCTATATGTGCTGTTGAGTTTGTGGTTCCATTTCTGGAAGACTCTATAACTAGTGGACTTTTCTTATTATCACAGCGGCTTGGTTCACAGATCAACGCATACTTTTGTCCTCCGTTTCGGATTGATTGTCAGTAAAACAGAGTTTATATTATTCCACTAGTTCAGGCACATCGCAATGTTTGTTTCTTCAGACTTACTCCTCGTCTTGACGACTGTGTAATGCAGCATTCGTGGCAATTAGACAGCCTATCATTTATACCATATTCGAGCTCATTATGAGCCGTAGTTGCGAGGAAATCTGGATATATCTGCAGCGACAAGCAAAGTATGCATAACACTGAATCCAACCAGCGCAATCCCGCAACATATACCTCAGAATGGCACAAATACAATACCATCGAGCCCTGATTCACACATCCCTAACCCCTCTTCTACCTATCCAAGTATCGTCAATGTACCAAACTACCCACGAAGTACCCCTTTATTCCAACTCCTCCTCAAGCACCGCCGCCCTCGTAATAAAACCTGCGCCAAAAGAGCGCCATACTTCACTGTGGGCTGCAGAGAAGGACCCGGAAACGGCAAATTCGCATGCCGAAACCTTATCCGGTTGGAATCTCGTCATGACTTATTAGTAATACGAGCGTCTTGGCTCCCCAAATATTGTTTGGTTTTGCATCCCTGCAGTCGCTATCAATGATGTACGTACTGATAAATAGAAGTAAGAATCTTGATTTCGTGAACATCACATCCAGCTCTGTGGTTAAGCAGGGCCATTAAACCTGGACTCCCTAGTCTATCGTGTGCGTGTTTTATATATGTCTATCGATTAGGTAACAAGCAAGCGTTCAGAAGCAAATTCTAAGCTCAGGCTTCAGCTTTGACCGGCACGCCCTCCTTGATGGCAAGCTTCTCAACACCTTCAGCCAGCTCGGTGCCGTTGATATCTCCAGCTACAGCAGGCGTTGCTGTATATTTTGGGCCGGCTGCTTCCACATGTTCGGTCGCTGCTGGCACTTCGGCCTTTCCAGAGTTGAGGCTCGGCTCGTCTCCACCCCACAAGTAGATTTCGCTCTCTCCAATAATCTTGCCAGCCTTTTCCCACCGCTCTTTCCTTTGCTGTCTCCTCTCAGTGACGAGCTTGTCAAGAGCAGGCCAGTACACAGAGTGGTCGTATTTGAAGTCCACATCTCCGCCAGAAACCTTCATGAGTTGAGAAGTGGGGACGTGGCTTGGAAGAGGCTCGTTCGTCTTCATCTTCGATTTGGTGACGGGATCGATAAAGGGTTGGATAAGCTTCAGGAACGTAGTGACAAACCAGGGAACTAGAGCAGGTTCAGTAAGTACGAGTCAAATCTGGCCAAAGTGGCGCTTACCATTTGTGAGCAGTGCCCTGCCAAGTCGTTCAGGGTAGTGGTTCTGCAAGATATAAAGGACTTGCTTTACTGTAGCCAGGCTAGGGACTCCTCCAGATCCGGTGTTCTTAAAGTCAATCAACAGTGCTAGGCCCTCCTGGCCTGGCGGATGAATGTCGATGGTGCGCTCCAGCATGTATACCAAGTGCTCGACCTGTTTGGGGGATTCCTTGGTGTTCTGGTTCTGGGGCAGTAGATAGAGGCATGGCCTTCCCTCCTTGTCGAATCCTAGCAAGACTTGCTTGCCAGAAGCATTTTCCTCGGAAATGTAGTCGGCAGTCAAGTTGTCGGTGCCGTACTCACGCCGCCATATCAGCGTAGAGCGTAAGCGTTCTGCAGCTTGTTGCACATTCCACTTTACAGCACGGAGATATCGGAGTAGACATTCGCGGGTGAGCCACATGCGCTCATCGTCGGTGATAGGAGAGGCTTCGGTAGTCTTTGCCAAAGTCGTGGGCAGCGAGTCCCAGGTGCGAACATCGACAAGGAGCTGGTCGTATTTGGTCTGCTGGTCGGCGGTCAAGGCCGGAGCCGCGGGTGGCTTGCAGCCCTCAGCGGGTTCTGCGAATGGGCCCATTGCTGACATGTTGAGAGATTTAGGACACAAATTGAGCGACTAGGAGTCTGTAGGATTATTAGTGAATTGAGAAGGAAAGAAGGGAAACCACAGTTGGGTTGTTGAGAATAGGGTCAGCGTAGGTAAACTTTCGGGAAACATAGTGGACCCTTGCATACTGATCCCTGGTACTAGACCACGTCCATCCTAGCCCACATCCGTCGCGTCTACTACGCGTCTTCCCTGTTCCCACGCGCAAAGTGCTTTCGCATCCAGCACCCCATACCATCTACAATCTGCATTACAATGGACGACGTAGCAACAGAACTCACAGAGCGCTTCGAGCGCTACTGCGACACCAAGGACGATGAATTCCCCGCCGATGTTCTCGCCGAATTGCAGTCCATGTGCCGGTTATACTCCATCTCGCCCGAAGAGTTGGACTTCAAGTGGCAGGCGTACAACATGAAAATGGGGGGAGAAGAAAACAAAATGGATGTCAAGACAGCACAAGACTTTAAGAAGACTATACAAGATGCATTGGAGCGGGAAAGCAGAGGCAAGGCACAGCAAAGAAACGAAGTCAAGCGGGGTCAGCCAACACCAAGAGCAAAGGGCGGGGACATGTATGACATGTATGTTTAGCGACGGCAAGGTTACAAATCAGAACACACTGACCGAGGAAAAGACTAGAAGGGCTTGTTCCCAATACGCCACGCCCAAGTGCTCCTAGTGGGGTTAATGGCAGCACTGTCAAGCGCAAAGCCAACTTCCAAACACCGGGAGGTAAAGCGAACAAGGCACATGAAATGAGCTCACCGGGAGGCTTCATGACACCAAAGGCTGAGACTTCGGGTGGACCGTAAGCATTCAAGCAGTACTAGAAAAGCATCTCTAACCATCGCTCAGTGTCTTTGACTTCGCCTCTCGTACCAACGCGAACGACATCACAGAACAGTTTATGCAGGGAGACATTGCTATCCCAGAGCCACCTTCGGAAGAGCCCAAAGAACCCCGCATCAAACTCAAGGCCAATACAGACATGTCCAAGTTCTCATACCGGACCATGGCAATGAAACTTTCCGAAGCATCAGAAGTACTGGACGACAGGATCGACGAGTTCCGTGATATCCTCAGAGAATCCGCAGGCCTCGACGAGAGCGCATTTGGCAATCCCAACTACGCATCACCCAGCGAGATTATTGCTGTTGGAAGGATAGCGTGCGATACGAGCGAAGGCAAGCTAAACACAGCATCACTTGTGCTTGAAGGCTCGCGGCGGCATGGCTCGGGGCGTCGTGTACCGCTCAACATCGAGGGACTACAGTCGTACAACTTCTTTCCCGGTCAAATTGTCGCGCTGCGCGGTACGAACGCATCCGGCGATTCTTTTGTAGTCTCCGAGGTCCTTTCACTGCCACTTCTGAACCCACCTGCTACAAAGCCAGACGAGCTTGATGCCATCAACGCACGATACTTTGACACACCCGACTCTGACCCAGACAATGTCCGACCTCTGACTTTGATGATCGCATCTGGGCCCTACACAACGGAGCAAAACCTTGATTTTGCGCCTCTACATGCTTTTCTAGATAAGGCTGCAGAAGCCTATGCGGACTCTATCATCCTGATTGGTCCCTTTCTCGATGCAGAGCATCCTCAAATTCGGTCGGGAGATTTCGATGCTCCACCAGGCGTGAGTCCAGATCAAGCGACAATGACTGATCTATTCCGCCACCACATCTCGAGCGCCATCCAAAGCTTTAACAAACGTGTACCGACGTGCAATATTCTCTTGGTACCCAGCCTACGGGATGCACACCACCATCATGCTGCTTTCCCACAGGACAAGTTTATCAAAAAGGAACTTAGCTTTGGCGCAGCAGGGAAGATGGTGCAATGCGTCACGAACCCCATGACTGTCAGCATGAATGAGATGACAGTTGGCATGTCTTCGCTTGACAACCTTGACATGCTCCGAAGAGAAGAGCTTGCAGGTGGCAAAGCGCGCGCAACAAACATTTATGAACGGTGTGCTCGCAACTTGATCGAGCAACGGAGTTTCTTGCCTCTTTTCCCGCCTACCGGGAGAGAGAAGCAGCAATTCATGCCTACGCCAATTGAGGAAAAGGTGATGAAGAACAACACTGCCAATGGGGAAGGGAAAGAAGGAGAAGAGGCAGATGAAGAGCAAGCGCCTAGTCCGTTCCTCCCGCTTGGTACAATGCTAGACACTAGTTATCTCAAACTGGGCGAGATGCTCAACGTACGGCCTGACATACTAATCACACCCAGTGTGCTCCAGGGCACTGTCAAAGTATGTATACCTGGTGGATGTGTGGTAATGCAACATGCTGACAAAGTAATAGGTGGTCGAGTCTGTATTGATAGTCAATCCTGGCACATTGGCCAAACGGCGTGCAGCTGGAACGTATGCACGGGTGATTGTCCAGCGTGCTGCCGTCAGCGATGCGGACCGGGAGAAAGGGATGGCCATGGCACACAAACTTTGGGAACGAACGCGGGTGGATATTGTACGAATCTAGTTATTTGTTGCTGTCCTGCAACTGGCCACCGAGTGAATATATGCAATGAAAGCTACGTGTACGAATGTGTTAAGCTGGAACATGTGTGGACTGGTGTTGTAAAGTTGGTGTTGGGGATTGGATAATGTTCTGCATGGGTTTCCAACGCACATGATTCCGCGTCACTTTTGCGACTCGGCCACTAGTAGTGTGTCTAGGTGGACGTGCTCATTTTGAATATTTGGTAGGACTCACCAACATCGCTAGTACAGGGCCGCCAGAGAAGCTCCTGGTGATTGGGAAACACGCATCCACCTTCACCACAAATGCCGTACTTGTCAGAGTAAGAGTCGGTCGCATTCCATACACTGGCATGCCAGTATCGCTTGCCATTTACGGTATTAACCAGACCTGTTCCCTATGGTACTTGTTTGCGGCTTGGCCCGTCAACTGCTCTGCCTCAAGCGCACAGATATCGACCAGGCGCACGAGCTTCCCTGTGCCCGACCAAAGCGCAACTCTCTGAACCCTCACCACTTCAACATCGACAACTTCCAGCCCACGGCCAAGGTCACGCTGGCCCCACTCATGCCACCCAAGCGCAAGACGACAGATGACGGCACAGCCACGGGTCACTCCGAGAAGAAGACGAGGGCTGTCAGGAAAGGCAAAAGTACTGTATCTAGCAACGATCTAGGTAAGCCAAAGACGCCTTTTCCCATGGCCTGGTTTCATCCAAGAAAGAGTTGGTGGTGATGGCAGAGGGCAGAGGTTGACATGCAGATTAACCCTGTTGCTGCGGCCCTAATTCCGAAGCATGGCATGTGGCTTTGCGACCTGAAGGGCCAATGGTGGGCTGTCGGCGGGGTCGGACACTCGCTGCGTCACCAGCTTGTCCAAAGTCCCACCAGCCCTACCATACAACCCCGTTCTGTAATTTCGAGGCGCACCACCGGGACTCTATATGTCCTGGACCCTCGCAGTCTTGTCCTTTTCTATTCCTCTATCCCTAGACTCTGCACTAGACTCTTCCCCGCCCTTGTTGCCACTGCTAGCAACCCAGTCACCACTGCCCATCTCAAGCTTGCAACCACCACCCAGCCGTCTTGCCTACCGCGCTAATTCAAGATGCCGGCAGTATACAGCTCCCAGCAAAAGGCTGCCATTCAGCAATTCATGAATTTCACCCAGCTCGACCGAAACTCAGCCATAAGGGCGCTGAAGAGCTATGGCTGGGACGCGCAGAGCGCCGTAAACGCGTATGTATAACTCTCTTTTGCTTTTTTCCACCACCCCATGCATGGTTGTTGTGAACCACCTATACGCATGAGCACAACATAGTACACATGCAGCTATGACCGAAATGTGAATCGGACCACCCTGCATTTGTCGGTTCAAAGTGGCAACAGACCTAAAGAGAGGTGGCACAACCGCCAACAGGCGATTGCATCAAGGTCCCACGCATATGCGCAGAGAACATAGGCCATTGTTCACATCAGAAGCCACAGAGAGCCAAATGCGGACCACTGAGTGCCAAGATACGACCAAGATTGCCATTTCTGGAAGCATAGCTGGAGTAGTCACAAACGACAACCCTCGGAAGGAATGGCACACAACAGTGTACCTGCGCCATGGATAGCCTTTTTCATGAAACTCGCGCGATTGCTGCTTCTCTCGGTTCAGATGCACAACGTTATGTCTTCCTTCCGCATGTTCTCAGCCCACAACAAACCATCAAGCAGGTTTTTTCCCACCTCTCTTCACGCTGAACAATCGACCACAAACAAGGCATATACAACGATTGCAGCAATACAAAAGCTTGAGAGACACTTCGGGCATCATCATATTGAGCTGTCGTGGTTCCAGCAATCGCCCCAGTCCGCCATGTTTGGTTCCTCGCAGGACAGGGCCAGACAGCTTGCAGGGCGTAACCGACGACAGCGTATCAGCTCGAGTGGCTCATGCTCTAGTTCACGCTCCACATCTTCGTCACATGATATCTCTGAGCTATGCAGTCCGACAACGCTTCTAGATCCCAACGCCGAGCTACCGCCCGTAGAGGAAGAACAACCTTTTCAAGAAACTGCTCGTTCTTTCGTCGTTGTTTCAGACCCCAGGAAAAAGGAGATTGAACAAGACAACAGACGCTCGACCTCACACTCTGCCTCCACACTGCCCATTAGGCCACGCAATCTCCAGCTGGAACAGCACCGGCTTCAAGCTGAACACCTCAGTCAGGTGCTGTACAATACGCTTAGCCTTCCAAAATCTGCTGCCACTTCACACGATCTGTTTCGATCATCTCACCACGTCGAATACGGGAGTCTGGGCATTTCAGGAGTCACGTCCTCCAACATACGCAACACCACGGCTCCCTGCCAGGCTACTTATTTTCCGAATTCGCCAGTCTTTGATTTGATGAAAGCGTTTGACTCTTCCAAAGCTCCCTTTCCCAGGGCTTCTGCATCCGAATTTCACCTGCGTCCACAACCAGTCGTGTCGTTGCGGGGTGGTTATGGGAGAATGCAGGATCCCCATGACCAAGAAGCAGAATATGCACTTCAAGCGCATACTCTGAGAGTCCAAAATCATCGGGACTTTGGCATCTACACATCTATTTGGGGCAAGGAAGTCAGCGGTTACCATCAGTTGGATCTTGCTGAGAAAATCAGGTGGCTTCCACCACAGGCGTGGAATGAACCCATAACTGCGGGCCTTTCGTATGAAGAGTTTCTCAGCCTGTTGGACACTACACAGACTTGCCGCTTTGGCAAGCTGTTTGGTCCCTCTCCACGCAGTAACTTTCCGCGGGCACCGTGCGCACGTGTGGCATTTCTCCACTCTTTGGACGAGAAACTGAGGGTTGCATTTGTGAATGCCATGAAAGGGAGCATCTCTTACAAGCGGGAGCCCGAAATTATAACCTCGACAAGCGACAACAACAATCCTCCCGTCATGCTGTCGCTCCTCTTATCTGCTGCGGAAGAGTTCGTGCAGCTCATCCTCGCCTATCACTAACTAGCTCTATGTGCAACTTTTCATGTCACAACTCTATTTTAAATTCATGAACACTAACATTATAGAACAGGTACTACAGCGGTGGAAGCGCTCCCCAGGCTTCTCCTGCAGCCAAGTCTGCTCTAAACGCGCTATTTGACAAGTACCGAGAAGCCGATGCCCAGGACAAAGATGTTGTTGGAGTCGAGGGTACCATGAAGTTCTTCGCGGACATCGGCGTCAACGCTGAAGATCTAGACGCACTAGCTACTTTTGAAATCATTCAGGCACCCACAATGGGTGAGATGAGCCGCGAAGGTTTCGTGAAGGGCTGGACAGAGCGCAAGTAAGTCACATTGCAGCAATCTGTTCGACAGGTGCTATTCAGATTCTAATTGGAAAATAGCTGCGACACTGTTGATAAACAGAGGATGTACATCCAGAGTGTAAAGGAAGAGCTCCCCAAGAACAAAGAGCTCTTCACCCGGGTGTACAAATTTACATTTCCTCTTGCCAGGGCACAGGGCCAGAAAGCGGTCGCTCTCGACAGTGCAGTCGTATTCTGGGAACTTCTATTTGGGTCACCATTGTCGGCAGTGAAGTGGTCGACCGAGAAGACACCGTGGCTAAGCTGGTGGACTGAGTTTGTCAACTCTCAATGGAAAAAGAGCGTCAACAAGGACATGTGGAATGAGACACTCAAGTTTGCACAGCTCACCCTCGAAGACGAGTCGATGGGCTTCTGGAGTGAGGAGTCTTCTTGGCCCTCTGTGATTGACGAGTTTGTCGAATGGGTCAAGAAGGAGAAGCGAGGGGATACTAAGGAGGAGGTTATGGATGAGGAGTACTGAAGCCTCTCTCACGTTGTTCACGTCGATTCTTCGATATGAGATTCTCTTGGTCTGAGCAGCGGGGAGTTGGGGTAGATGATATGGCATGGCTTGCTACGATGGGTGAGTGCAGTTTGCATATCTGAAGGCGGTCTTATTCAAACATGACTACGACATTCACGGGAGCATAACATACCCTTGGTCAGTATTTGTAGCACTTTGGTGGCAGCAGAACATCCTCTAGTAGATAGATTCGCTCGATATGAGTAATTCACAGACATATTCTCAATGGGTATGTGAAGGTGAGCATGGCACAACGTGTGGATGATTGAGCCACATCTTGGCTGTCGTAAGATTGGCCAGGGTTTTGCAGGTGTGGGTCCAGAGAGTACGGCACGCATGTATTCGTAAAGTCTGGTCAATAGCAAGCAGTAGGCACACAGAAACGTAGCTGGTGAATATTACCATCGTGTTTATTCTAAAATGAAACATTGAACCAGTAATGCACGCATTTTTGATGAGGCTTGCCAGACGGACACGACGCAGAAGGTGTTGCGCCACTTGAGTGTGGCTGATGCATCTCGCTTAGGTTTGCTTAGCGTCTTAGCAGAGCCAACAGTGCCGGGCTTGATTTTCGCTGCACCACGACAACGTCCAGTTTCTCACGACAAACTAACCACACAGCAGTCAAAGTGCGTATCCTATGACAATAGATTGCTGCGACTATACTGACTCTCTGTAGATGGTCGCCGCTAAGAAGCACGTCCCGATCGTCAAGAAGCGTACGCCAGCACCTGCCTCGATGACCTCGAAATTTCGCGACTGACGTATCCATCTGCAGACACCAAGCGCTTCAACCGTCACCAGTCGGACCGCTTCAAGTGTAAGAGACATTTGAGAATTGGAAAAGACAGAACAGGATCTGACAATGGGTAGGCGTTGACCCATCATGGCGCAAGCCCAAGGGTATCGACAACGCCGTCCGCAGGCGGTTCAAGGGCCGAGCTGCTATGCCTAAGGTACGACTGCCTCAATCAATCGATTCGCGAAGGAATTTTCTATGGCGGATGTTTTCGTTCTGGATCAAACTGGGATATATGGAGGACAGGAGCTGACGGAAGGATTTACAGATCGGATACGGCTCCAACAAGAAGACCCGCCACATGATGCCCAGCGGTCACAAGGCTTTTGTTGTCAACAACGGTAGGCTACATGTCGATTGCCGCAGCAATTATGGACGCAAGCTAACGACTCCAGTCGCCGATGTTGACCTTCTCCTCATGCACAACAGCACCTTCGCCGCAGAGTACGTTGGCCTGATCACGCCATGCACGATGCGACCCGCTAACAAATTCTAGGATCGCCCACGCCGTATCAGCACGAAAGCGCATCGACATCATTGCCCGCGCGAAGCAACTTGGCGTTAAGGTCACCAACGGCAAGGCCCGCGTCAAGACCGAGTCGTAGATATGTGTGGATTTACTTTAGGGCGGGGCATACAAGGCGTCTCTCTGATTAGTTACGATCTCAATGGGAAGGCTTTTCATCTTCTTTAGCTCACAGTACCCTTTGATACGGTACGAGGAGAAGCATGCACTTCAAAAAAGCATTGCGACATGCTACCGCGGCATGACCCAGGACATGAAAGGACAGAAGCCGTAGGAATGCAATGAAAAACGAGCCAAAACCACCAGGACGATTCTTTTCCTCGCAGTGATGTAGGACGCGTGATGTGGTTTTGGGTCGGACAGGCTGCTTGCGAGAGACATAAGCAGAAGTCTAACAGCAGTTCAGCTACGCCTTGAGCATTTCCTTTGGCGCTCGCGCAGAAGACTGCATCGAACGAGCGTTGCTTTGGGAAATGGAGTGAAGAGATGTAATACGATCTAGGCCAAGCTTAGAATGTGTACTGGCTACATGGTATTCCTTCACATGCTCAAGGTGAGGCGCCGATCATGTCGCGTGCGTTGTGATTATCCTGCATGGTTGTTGCTGACTGTAGCCAGCCAGAGACTCGTCGGACTCCGGCTGATAAACATTAAGCAAGTCAGATATTCTTGGCCGCACCCAAAACACGAGGCGCATAAGACGCGTCGGTGCGATGCAGTATGGTGTTAATTATATTCCCTATCAAAACGACCATGTCTATTTATTCTCACAGGCTGCTTGTACTGCATGAGGCTGTCGAGAGGCAGACTGAAGTGGCATACCTACTTACTCTGGTGTCCACACTCACCACCACCCGCCACCACTGCAGCATTCGGACTGTTCAGCTCACCCACCCTCACCGCCCCGAGTGGATGAGATGCGACGACCACTGTGTGTGTGTGTGCACATGCCTGCATGCATGCTGATAAGGCAGTTCTGGCGATAACAAAGCCATGACATGTGCGAGTCGTCGTCGGGGGTTAGGTGTAGGGGTGGGCAACGCCAGAGCCGCAATGCCCCTGGGACGACTGGCTTGGCGGCGTCGCAGGTTCGGAAGCAGCAGCTTCCAGAAGCACAGCATAGTTTAACCTCGTGGGCTGGGGGAAGCAAGCTTTTGGCTTGCGACGCTGGGCTGCTTTGGTCTTGTTTATAGGGTCTGGGCTGTTTGGTAGGGCTACAAGAGCTGGGGACGACGGACGGTATAGCATGAGGCGAAGGGAAATTGAAGGGACCTCAGAACGACATTCTCTCACCTGTCTACTGCGGAAGGTTTGACGTGGAATGCTGGGGATGACATTGCATGCTTGTTATGTCAAAGAGACAGGCGCCGCGTGTTTCCTTGTTTCCTGGAGTCTCCTGGCCGGCGTTCGCTAACGGGGACGCGCCATACGATTCCGCGCTCTACTAGTCGACGCCATGTCGACCCACTCTGTTCCTTTCTCATCCGCACACCTCAACCCAGCATGCACCACACCGCCATGAAGCCCATGAAGCAGCCATCTGTCTGTGCCTGCCCTGCCACCTTGCACAACTACGCGCACACACTCTCCGGGCCCTGCCAGATTGCTGCCACACGGTAATCGCGTAGGCTGGCCTGATGCATCCACGCCTGGCTGCGAGGCGCCCTGATTGGCGCGAAGGCCACCCTCCATTCGAACGGATGTGGCATGTTGTCAGGTAGGCACGCATGCGGATTCGGATATGAACATGCAAACCACCGCGATCAGCACATCCGTGGTTTCATCCAGGAAACAACCGGACAACGTGTCTGACTGAGAGGACCTGATTGAGGCAGTGCTCGCGCTCATGACGAGGGACTCCCCGTTGGTTTTTCCCCTGTCGTCCGGTTGCAATCGGGCGCGACGTAACCAAAAAAACAGCATGCTTAGATGCGCATATGATTTTCTGACTATTAGCTCCCCGGTCCATGGCCCGCACAGCTAGGTGTACCCACGGTAGGTCGAAGCGCAACCCAATTTCCTTCCGCGAGCCTGGGAAAGATTTTCCAGGCCAACACTATTTTAGTTCCCGTGCTTCAAATATCTGGTCACCCCAGAGCCTTTGTTTCGAGAATCCTTCTTTAACGCCCACGTGAATCAAGCTCGAAGGCTTTGCCTCGCTCTTCATAGCGACACAGTCGTGCATCGCACGCAGTGATTGGCAGTCTTCGGCTCGTCACACAAACCCTAAAAATCTCCTGGTCGCAGTAACCCTTTGTCAACACCACTCATCACGCCGCCTCCCTTCTGGGTTACCCGACTTTTGAACTATCCCGCCTGGCCATTCTACAATCAGCACCAACCTGCCCTACGAAAAAAAGACAAACTCTCCTCCACGAGGCCTTTTTGCCTGCAAGCATTTGCCGACCCCGGATTCAAGACCCACTACTACTGCCGACTGTCCCCGGAGGACCACTTTACAGCAGTAAGCGGGACCCTCATTTGTTCTGTCTCGCCAAACACCACTAGAATGGCGCCCAACCTCTTTGTTGCTACTCAAAAGGCCTTTTTTCCACACAAATGGTTCAAATCCAGCAAGGTCGACCTATCTAGGGTTGTTGAAGAGTGGAACAGCCCAGTCCCTGGCCAGTACGAGAGTATCCCCGGTCGAGGCTGGTTCTTGATCGCGACTCTCAAGGATGCATCCAAGCCAGAGGGCAATAACAAATCAACCATCAAGGGATCTGATGGAAAAGACTATATCCCTTTGGAGACGCCTATCCCACTCAAGTATTCCCATGCACTCGGCCGCTACTTTCTGGAGCCAGAGTTCTACAAGCGGAAGAAGACGGTCATGATCAAAGACGACAAAGGCAAAGAAGTCCGAGCCGGTTTCTTTCGCGTCGACGACGTAGCATGGGTCAAGTGCTGGGACGAACACGACACCTTCATCCCCGGCAACGCCAACGGCGCAGCCGGCTACCAACGCTGGGTCCTCGACGCCCAAACTCAGCAGTTCCGCCACATGATCAAGCGCGACGACCCAAACTACGTCCGCTCTCGCAGAAACTCGCCCGCCCGCGACGCCGACAACCGCAGCCAAGAATCTGTCAGCACCGAGTTCCGCCCTAGTCGTCCCAGCAGCACAAAGAACGGCTTCAGCGTCGCCAGCACCCGCGCAAATAGCATCCGCTACCAGCCCTCGACGCCCACCTCCAACGCACCTAGCCAACGCCCTTCGCGCCAGAATAGCCCAAAACGCAGCGACAGCATCCCGCTCGAGGAGGCCAAAGCCGCCCTGCGTCGCTTGGCCCGCGAACACGAAGAAGCGGCCGCTGCCCTGGCCCGATCCCGCATGAAGCGCACTGACTCTACAGATGGCGTTGAGCAGATCGAACGCGGTCGTGTTTCGGAGCGTGTGGGTTGAACTAAAAGTGGTCTTTTGGTAAGGCGTTTAGACGATTTCTTACATTTGTGGGGCGTTTGAGGTATTGCCAATTTTGAGGGGGGATTAAAGGGGGGGTTGACTGTGTGTGTGTGTACACATGCGGATGTACGACACGTGACCTTGTCGCTATCTCCGATTTTTTTGCGATAACAACGACGATATGGCTTTTTTTCTTTCTTCCTTTTTCTTTTGATTTCTCTGCACTTTTACCCACTCTGTTTTTTTGATTGGGGAGGTGCAATCCGCTTTGTAATCACTTTTTTGATAGTTTTACTCCAGCCTGCGTGTCTTTTTTTTTTGCGCGCTTTCTACGACATCCCATATGAAATGTTGTTTACATTGGTTCTGGAGCACGAGGGGTGTACTCATGCTGTTCCTTGTTCTCTTTTCTTTCTACACCCTTAGACTTTTCATCGTCTTCTCATCAACCTACGTTTTTTTTCTCTTTCTTTTCCTTCTTGCTAAAGCGGGGGTGTGTATTTTTTTCGTTATCACTACTTTGCTTTGCTTTCGGTGCGTTGGCGAGAAGAAAAAAAGTAGAGTATTATACCCTTCCCTTTCCCAATCTTTTTTTTTGTTTTTGCAAGCATATTTTAGATCGTTTTGGTGTTTAAGCTGGGATTCTGGTTTTTTGCTGGAGTATATGTAGGGTGGTAGATAGATGTATTGATATATATTTTTCTCTATCTCTCTCTGTGTGTCTCTCTCTTCTTACATATGATCTTAGGTCTTTGGGATGGTGTAGGTGCTGTAGACTTCTCTACAGCCTTGTTCACTTGAATGATGGGTTTTGGCACTTAGATGTAAGTGCTTTAGTGAACATCTTTCCACATCATCACTTGTGTTGAAAGTTGAAAGTTGAAAGTTAGATTGATAAAAAAAAATCTTTTCTCCCGCCATTCTAAGCGTTCACACTAAGGTAGGAAAACATTGTATTTACAAGTATCGGAAAGAAAGTAATGCCGCAAACTTTGATAATACCAAGTAACTATCACAAGCAAAACCTCCATCATCTTTCTTCGCCAAAGCTTCTGTAGCATTATCCCACATACATTTTCAATCACGGTAAAGTCAAGTCCAAAGGTAAATTTTAGAAACAAAATATGATATAGTCATTACGAAATAAAAGTCTAATCCCGAAAAAAACGAAAAAGTCTAAATCCGCACGTTTACACCAAATGAATGTTCCCTTTTTTTTCCCTCCAAACCACCATCTAAATCTCCCCCTAGTATTCCCCCCATATCTAACCCCTCCTGCAAGCTCAAACTCCCCCATTTAAGACATTATAGAAGACGGAATCTTACGAAGCTAGATTCACTCGTCGTCGTTGTTGTCGTTGTTGTTGTCCTTGCTATCCTTGTTGTCCTTGCTATCCTTGTTGTCCTTGCTATCCTTGTTGTCCTTTTTGTCGTCCTCCTCGACCATTCCACCGTTGCACTCACAGGCCCACTTGCTGCATGGCGCATTAGTAAATACTGGAAAGGGGAGGGGAAGGAGATAAAACGCACCCAGTCTTCTTGTTCTCCTTGCAAACGCCTGCAGCCCCGGCAACAGAGCAAAGATTGTCGCATTTGGCATTGCCGCTTTTCGCTGAGCAAAAGTTGACCGTGCTAGTACCCACAAGCGTGTTAGTATTCTTCTCCCAAAGGAAATAGACAAAGTAGATTGGAAAGGGAGGGGGAAAGAAGAGCAAAAGGAAGAGGAGATGGGAAGCGTTTACTCGAAACCAAAACGGGAGCGAGGCGGGTAAGTGGGTTGTAAGCAAGGAATGAAGTAAAAGAAATAACACGGATGAAGAAGATAAAGGGAAAAAGTCACACTCACAGCTCATCAATCTGGCGCTTCGCTTCAGAGCTACCCGATTCATCGTCACCCTCTGTCTGGCTGCCTTGATCGGTGTTACCTTGGGCGGTCTCCGCCTTCTTGGACTCCTCTTTCTTGGACTCCTCTTTCTTGGGGTTAAGAACATTATTGATACCCTCAAGCTGGCGCTTGTTGAAAACCTTGTAGTCGAAGCCGTCGTTGTGCTTGCCGCCCTTGCGCTCGCCGCCCTCGGAGGATCCTTGAGCCTGGCGCTTGTTGAAAATCTTGTAGTCGAAGCCGTCGTTGTGCTTGCCGCCCTTGGAAGACTCGCGAGTCTGGCGCTTGTCTCCTAGGATCTTGTAGTTGAAGCCATGGTCGTCGCCCTTGCCCTTGCGCTCGCCGCCCTCGGAGGATTCTTGAGCCTGGCGTTTGTCTCCTAGGATCTTGTAGTTGAAGCCGTGGTCACCCTTGTGGCCCTTGGATTCCTTGGAAGACTCCCCGGCTTGACGCTTGTACTGGGAACCTATTTCTCGTCAGTCTTCATATCAAACCTGGGGGATGTAATCAATTCTTACCGTATTCTTGGGACTGACCGTCCTGTTGAGGGGCCTCTCCCCCCTCATGGGTAGCCTCGCTTCCAGAAGGAGTCTCGCCGCCCTGAGGGCCATTACCGCCCTGAGGGCCATTGCCGCCCTGAGGACCATTGCCGCCCTGAGGACCATTGCCGCCCTGAGGACCATTGCCACCCTGAGGGCCATTACCGCCCTGAGGGCCATTGCCACCCTGAGGACCATTGCCGCCCTGAGGGCCATTGCCACCCTGAGGACCATTGCCGCCCTGAGGGCCATTGCCGCCCTGAGGGCCATTACCGCCCTGAGGACCATTGCCGCCCTGAGGACCATTGCCGCCCTGAGGGCCATTGCCGCCCTGAGGGCCATTGCCGCCCTGAGGACCCTCGCCACCGGCGTTAGACTCGCCGCCTGCACCTCCCTCCTGGGATTCACCACCCTCGCCGGATTCGCCGCCCTGGGGAGACTTGTCGTTGTCGTCACCCTTGTCGTTTCCCTTGGGCCTCTCCTCCTCGTCTTCCCCCTTCTTCTTGTCATCTGCCTTCTTCTTGTCTTCCTTGTCGTCCTTTGTCTTCTCCTTCTTTAGCGTGCCCTTGCCGTAGTCGAATAAGCCGTCGAACAAGCTGTCCGCCTGGCGGATCCTTAGCGGCCCGCCGGACCTGTCGGACTCAACGTCGAGAGAAGGTATACCAGAAGTAGCAGGCACCTTGGGCACGTTTCTGGGGACAGGCAGCTTGGCCGACGAGGACAGAGCGGGGGCTTTGGCCGGGGCGGCGCTGCCCATGAGGGCGAAGGACGAGACCGTAACGATGGTTGTGAAACGCATCTTGAATGGAAAGCTGTCGATGAAGTCGAGAAAGGAAAGATTATTATATTATAAGAAACTTGGGTTGTATTAAGAGAGTGTGTGATTTGTAAGTGAGTGTTGATGAAATGATTGTCGATGGTAGGTGAGGAATTTGAATCAGAAGACGAAGTGGCTTCATATACTCACTTCTCTCATAACCCTTTTTCTTTTCTTTTATGGAAACTCGTGCATTGGTGCTTCAGTGTTGCTCATGCTTTGTTGTACGTTAGAAGCTCCGTTCACACCGGACTCTGTTTCTGCAGGCACGTCGATCGTTGAGTGCATGGCTCAATAGGGTCTAGCAAGTGCACATATGCGCACACACCTGCACACATTAGCTAGCACTCGTGCTGCATTAGACGGAGTTTGTCGCCGCAGGTATGGTCTGAAAAGGCATGGTTGAGCTAGTGAGGTTTCCATCCAGTTGGATATCACTTTACGTGAAATTCCTTATACCACAGCTGGAGAATCTTGATAGGCACCGCCACACGTAACATCAAACACCAAAGTCTCTGGAGAAGGAACATAAGATCACAATCTGAAAACAGAGACCTGAGCCGATCATACCAACTCGCTAATGCGTCCAAAAAGCTATTATACGCATCAAATTCTGCCTCTCGAGTGTGTTGTAAAAACAACCCTGGAAGACCGGTAGGTCATGGCGTCGGTAGTGACCGAATAGGTCCATAGAGGGATGCGTAATCGGCGATATCGAGACAAAGAAGAAGGAATGAAAAACAGGAGAGCCCAAATTCTCGTGTTGAGAAGAACATAGAAACAGAAATGAGGGCTTCATTTCCAGTGATTTCCGCATCGTTGGGATACCTGCACTGCCATGCTCTCGATTCTGTCGGATATAGAATATTCCTAGGATCTTCTACGAACGTCGAAAATTCCATCTATCAGCAAAACAACCAGGCCAATAGCAGCAATGCATGCGCTTAGAATGCGGATATGGTGGGCTTCCCCGCTAACAATGGTTCATGAAGCGGTCAGTGTCTAGGGTTTGCCGCGGCCGCCCGCGCATGGAAGTCGTTGTATGTGGTTGGAAAAGCAAGCTATACTGTACAGTAGCGAATAGAGTGTTGAGGTGCCCAGAATAGACATACACCGGATGATGCGCATGGAAGAAAAGGCAATCATCAGGGGTATCGCTCGCTCGCTCGCTAGCCAGGAAGATCGTCACAACTCTGCAACAGAAGGTGTTTTTACTTGTAGCGCCGCACGGAAAGGGTTGAAGAGAAGAAGGAGAGGAGGTAAAGAAGCTTGGTTTCTCACAAAGTGCTATTACTGCAGTGTCTTGCTTACTAGGGCTTGAGCTACCCAGGTACCTGGGATTTGCACGTGGCTTCGACTACTTAGGTTTGGATAGAACTGAAACTGAACTGACAGCTGCATCCCCGTTGCGTGAGCCGACTGACCGCCGCAACGAGCTTGGACTGTTGAGATGTTCGTGCGAGATGACAAGCGTGAGTTCAAGGAGGCTGTTTTGGACTGTTTCCAGATAGAAAAAGAAAAGGCGGACAGGGAGTTGGTCGCTGTGTAAGCATGGCTGCCGGTGTGTATTTGAAGCATCAAACAAGGCGATGGTTGAGAGATTGACCTGCATTGCGGGGTCGAAGTCATGTACCAGGCGACGAAGGCACGGCGGCCGGCCCGTTGGATAGCTTTGTTCCGCGGAAGAGGCCGTTGGTAACCAAATCGCCACCTTGGTCTCAAGTTACTTTTCCTGCGTTTTGACCGCGAGAGTACCTCTGCTTTAACTTTGTTACTCGCCAGAAGGTAGTGGGGGGTTGCCCATGCATCTACTTCTACTCGCCAATATGGGGCAACCGGTATTGGGAATGCACTTAGAAGGCGCCTAGAAGATTTGTTGCACCTGAGGGTGGTGTCCATGAGCTGTCATGAGGAAAAACAAAGCTGCTTGTCCCAAAGACTCGAGGGCCGATACATCACCACTCAACGGAAACGAGGTAAGGTTCGAAATGTTCTTCGATTTGTCCTCGATCAACCGGCGGTAAATCCAGCCGAGAAATTTGCACTTCCCTAGACCATAGTCGTTCATGCGTCATGTTGGCAAAATTATGTCGATTCTTGGATTCCTCGACCCTTTTAGCCCTTCCTGACCCTCACAGATGACCCTTCCACGCCCAACCCACTTCCCCTCTTTTCTTTCTTTCAAGTCACGTTCTGCACTACCCTTTGCGCAACAGTAGTGCTCGCCATCCGGTTGACGAAGGCGTAAACATCGATCAAGAAAGATTATAAAGAGTAGACATCAATATCGGGGCTTGGCCTAAAACAAGCCAATCATCAGGAAAGTTGAATTTCAGGTTCAACAAAGATTACTCTAAACCTGGCATGCGTAAAATAACTCGTATTGGTACAACGGATCCGAAAAAACCCAACTTTCAGAATCATCGTGTACTGGCTGATACTGCAAGTAGTCTATGCAATGTAGGCATACAATCCATCGTCTTCTCTCTCCAAGAACTCCTTCTCAATCAACCGATCAATATTCCTCTTGATACCACTAACCTCTAGAGTACCCCTGTTTCTTGTAGCCTTGATAGTCTCACTGACTAGCTCGGCGTGACTGATTCTCTTTCTTGCCTTCAAGATGCGCACAATGGCAGCTTGCGTCTCATAGTTTCGGTCCGCAGCAACACGTTCGTGTGTTTCCTTGTTTTCAGCCGCCGTTTCCTTGAGCTGAACAGTATTGACTTTGATGCGGTACTTGGGATCTGTGAAAGAAGCGTTGATAGTGAACGTATCAGTCTCGCTAATCTCGCGGCCCTTTGGGTGCTTCGTTAGAGGCCGCACTTTGGCACAAGCCAGAGATTGTAATGTACGATTAAGCTCGGCAGGTGCTGTCGATTGTTAGTCGTGCTATTAAAACATATTGCTGTATGACTCACGTAGTCCTGTGGCTTGCTTGAGATATTCATAATCAATGTGCTCGTCATCCCGTCGGCCATTGAACAGCAAGAGGACAATGGCCTGGAATGACGAGACTACCAGTTCCTTGAGGCCTTTGGGGAATCTGGCCTTGATTTGACAATGCGCCAGTGCGTGCTTGAACTCAAGCTTGCGGCCAGTATGTTTAATCTTGTAGTGCGCTTCGAATTTGTTCATAGCAGATTGTACCTCTGGCGGTAGGATGACGGGAACAGTGGGGTAAGTAGGCCAAGCGGACGCAGAAAGGATGTTCACATTCAGATCGAGATCGAGTTTTTCGTTGCGTTCCTCGCTGATATTCTTGTATGAGCTCATTTCTTCGCGGGACAATTCGATGTCTCGGAACATTTGTTCAAGATTAGCAGTGAAACCAGCACCACATTCTATAGTGAGTTAGTATGCAGGTCAAATGAAAGTTGCTGTTGAGGAAGACTCACCAATCTTGAGTCTTGATAACATGCTTCTCTCCGCATCCGCACTAGCGCTTCTGCCCATCAATAATCGTCGTGCTAGATCTTTCTTGTAGAAGGCCTCAAACACAGCCTTGCCATGTAAGAAGCGGAACAGATCGAGAACCTGGTCGAGTTGGTTGTTGACTTCAGTGTCTTCATCAAATACATCGTCTTCCTTGTCATCCTCAGCCTCAACTTCAACAGGCTTCTCTGACTTCCGGCTCAGCTGTGTTGGTATCGCCTTAGCACCTCCTCTCAGCAACATGTCGACGTACTTGGCAATCATCTCGCCCGTCTTGGAGTTGTCTGTGCCCCAGCTTGCGTTCGTCTTCTTTGTCTTATTCATGAACTTGTCAAAAGCCTCGCGCAGCCCGTGGCCCAGCTCTTCGTCTCGATGGAACGAGGTTTTCCAAATGGCGTCTAACTGACGCTTCAATGACAGCAGTTGCACGACCATGTTCTCTTGTTCCTTTTCATTGAAGACGATAGCTGTACCCTCGTCTTCTATCCACTTTGTAAAACCAGACCGTAGACGTGCACCCATTTTTCGGCGTTCGAGAAGTGTGTATAGCATCTCGAGATCTTGGACAGCATTATTTTCCAGGAGGTCAGCAAGCTCGTCCTGATTCGTCAATCTTGATTCCTTCTTCGCGATTAGATGATCTTCCAGCAGCGTAAGAAGCTCTCGCTTGGTCGTGTTTGGAAGGCTAAACATCTCTACCCTCTTCATTTCACGATCCATGAGCGCCCTTGAATTGCGCACATACTCGGGCAGGGATTTCTCTGCACTCTCCGTGTCTGCCCACTTCACTATGTACTCCTGACTGACTTCCATCAAGCGCGGCTCAAAGTGCCGTGTGTAGACTTGCATGTCGTGGAACATATTGACTGTCTTGGAGAATATCTCGCTGTCCAGATCACCGCCTGTCCGATCAGTTGCTACCAGATCGCAGGCACCATCGACGATGCGAGGGTTTAGTTTGTCATTTTCAAAGATGATTGAGCGGAAAAGGCTAATGCAGATTTCACGGAGGGATTCGTGACGTGGGAGGAGGTAGGCTCGGTCGAGGTAGCAGAAGATCCAATCTAGGTATTTCTGCAGTCTGTCAGTTCGGTGGCATGTATTCTTGTGTTGCCCGACTTACCATCTGACTGTTCCATAGTGCCCAAGCATGTAGCGTCGTCCGCAGTACGTCAACACTAGTCTTACCCAGGCTGTCTTTTACCTTTGCCTCTAAACTGCCTCGCACGTAATCTCGGCACTTGTTGGTTAGACGTTCTTTGATGTCCCTGGCCATATCCTGTCGACAGACATTTTCTACGCCGCGGTACAGCTCCTCCAGACTAAAGTCAATGTCGCCTTGCTCAAAGATGGTGTCGAGGGCCTTTTCGACCTTCTGCCATGTCTGGTCCAGAAAAGCACGGGGGTCCACCTTTCTAATCGGCTTGAAATTCTTTACCACCAGTCGCTTGGGGCCGCTATTGCTATGTAAGCTGGGTGCTGCCCTGCGCGTTCCATTGCGTTGGCCGCTCGTCTTCGCAGGGCTGTTCTCAGGGCTCGAGGTGATATGAACGACATTTGCATTACTAGATATGCCTGCCTTCTTGCTGGGAAAGCTGTACATATCGGCCGTATCCATGCTGCTTATCAAAGAGGGCGAAGTAGCAACCTCTGTGCTCTCTATGGGCGAGCTGTCTCGTCGTGTGCGCTTGCTTGTGGGCGATAACGGAGCTGCCGAGGCAAGGTTTGGCTTGGAGTGGGTGGTGAAGAGCTCCTTGATGGTCTTGCCCGAGTGCTTCCGTTTCAGCGCGCTTGAATTGGCTGACATTGGGCGGGTGTGATGAGAGTGAAGGTTGCGGAGCTGTAGCCGCACCTGCGTCCGAAGCGCTTCCGTAAGTGACGTATCGATAACAAACGGTACCTCCGGCACATTGACTGCACTGCTTATGCATGCGACTGCAGGCTCACAACTGTATATTGAGATGTGGTGCGAATCATCTGATAGACAAGGCTGCAATTGTGCACACAATCGACGGTATTGTGATCTATCTAAAGACGATGGACTATGGAAACCCGCAAGCATGTCCTACTGTCCGGCCATGCCTTTGCAGGATACACAGTCCGTAACCCCAGACAACAACCAAACTTGATGCAAGGCGGTGGTTTGCTCCAGAGAAACGAAAGCAGCCATGACGCTTTTATGGCATTTGTAAAGAACGAATACAACAATCAGCCAAAGGCGTCTATACAGCGTCCAAGCGAAAAGTAGTCGACGCTGGTGCAGCGTCATGCACGTGCGCTGAACCTGGGACTAAAAGTGCTCGGACTATACAACGCGTCTCCCATTGCTGTCCCCGCCTCCACCCCATCGACCGCAATTGTCGCGCCACATTCCTCGACTGCAACGCCACTTTTCCTCGCACCATATACCCACGCGCGCAGCCACCATGAGCGCGCCGGCATCGCCCTCAGGGGTCGACCAGGTCGAATCTACTGCCACGCGGCGCAAGTCTGGACGCGTATCCAGAAAACCAGACAGGTTCGCGCCAGGCGCGAGCCCAACCACCACCACCAAGCGGAAGCGCGGCAACGACAATGACAGTGCAGTAGACGCGAGCGACTCTTCCGAACAAGAGTCAGACCAGAGCACCGAGGACGAGCCGGATGATGAGGAAATCAAGGAGCGTAGGCGCAAGAGGAAGACCAAAGCTGCTGCCCGTAAGCCAGCAGCTAAGAAGCCAAAGACCAATGGCGACAGCCTCAGCCTGGCCATCCGTCCCGCCAGCAACGCGACAAAGAAGCTTGCCAAACGACCCCGAAAAGCGCCTGTACGCAAGAGCACCCTGCCAGAAGAGACCGAAGGCCTATACGGTATGTTTGCAGGCGCGGCATGAAGCCTGCACAAGCTAACGCGCTATAGCCGACGTGTTCGCTAGCGGAGACCGGCTCGAAGACGTGACCGCTCAGTGGATAGCCCGATTCAATGAACATGAAGCCAAAGCTGTGGCCGAAATCGTAAATCTAGTCTTCCAAGCTTCAGGCTGCGATTTGCGGATAAACGAGGACGACATAGGCGATCCGGATAACGCGCCCAATCGCGTAGCCGAGATTCAAGAGGAATTCCAGCAGGTGAGTCCAGATGGCTTCATGCAGCCCGGTGCATACTAACAAGAACCAGTACGAGGTTACTGAATACCCTCTGATTGCAAAGGCAAAGGACGGCGGTGGCAATGCCTTCAGAAACGCGCTGCAAGGCTTCTTTATGACCCTCATACAAACCATTGCAGAATCAGGCCTCATGTACGAGAGCGTGGAGATTTTAGAAAACATTTCCGTCTGGCTGGGCGCCATGTCCTCCACCGGTAATCGTCCATTCCGGCATACAAGCACAGTCGCCTCGCTGGCCATCACGACCGCCCTGGCGCAAGTTGCTGCAGACCTGGTAGAGAACACGGCTAAGCGCGTCCGCCAGAGCGAAGCAGAGGCCAAAAAGTCAAGAGTGAATAAAGAACGTGTGGCTGCAGCGGAAAAGGAAATCGACGAGTATAATCAAAAGCTAGAATATGTCGGGGGCCAGTTGGATGACTGGTTCGCTGCCGTCTACGTTCATCGCTACCGGGACGTCGATCCTAAGATCAGGGTCGATAGCGTGGTAGCGCTGGCAGATTGGATCATCGCATATCCCGACAAGTTTTTTGATGGCACCAAACTTCGCTATCTGGGTTGGGTGCTTTCAGATCCAAATCCATCCACGCGAATCGAAGTGCTGCACCAGCTGGCACGCTTGTTCCGGGATGAGAGCAAGCTGGCCGGCTTGAAGACCTTTACCGAGCGCTTCCGACCACGTATTGTCGAAATGGCTACTCACGATGCGGAAATCAACGTGCGTGCTGCAGCAGTCGACTTACTCGACATCCTTCGTGAGGCCGGCTTCCTTGAGCCCGATGATATTGATTCGGTTGGGAAGCTCATCTTCGACTCTGACGCAAAGGTTCGCAAGTCTGTGGTTGGCTTTTTCGCTGAGAACGTCAATGCTGCATACGAAGCGACCGTAGAAGATATGGGAGGCGAAGAGGCGTTAAATGAAGCATTGGCTCCACCTGACGAAGAAGAGGAAGAGTATCACAATCCACGACTCGAGTGGCTCAAGCTCAAGTGTTTGGTTGACCAATTGCTCTCATACGACGAAGACGAAGTTGAGCTGCCCTCGCAGATCCAGCGCATGTCTCCTGGTGCGGAGCTGGGGTTGATTGCTGCTGGTGTGGAATCGCGCGTTTCGCTCGCTGCTCAAGCCCTCTACGATGCTATTCCGGAGATTCGGTCATGGGAGGTTGTGGCTGGTTACCTCCTCTACGACCATTCCCAAACTGTTCAAGGAGACAGTGAAGATCCAGAAATCATGCTTCGCCAAACCTGCCAGCTCGAGGAGAAACACGAAACTGTTCTCTTAGACATTCTCAACTCGGTAGTACGTATCCGACTTCAGCGCCTTGCAGAGGTGCCCAAGGACAAGAAGAAGACCAAGACGCAACGCGAGAGCGAGCAAGAGGACCAAGCAGATATGGCTCGACGACTGTCGTTACTCATTCCTCAACTTCTGAAGAAATTCGGCGCTCTTCCAGAAGCTGCTGCCCTATGTCTCCGATTGGAGCGTGAGCTGAATCTGGATGTCTTTGAGGAACTTCGGCAGAATGCAGCCCTCGCTGCGTTACTAGACGATATCAACAAGCAATTCCTTACTCATCACAACGAGCGTGTGCTTGGTGAGGCTATCGGGTCCATTCTACACGCACAGGGCAGCGAGGAACTCAGAGAGACGGTTGATCTCAAGGTCCAAGCACTTTGGGATGACCTGATCAACACATTTGATGCCCTTCGACGAGGCAAGGACTTTTCTACACGAGGCAATTTGGATCAAAATGTTCTCCGTGGCGTTTCCAACGTCGTACTAAAGATGGCACAGCTGGTGACTGTTTCAGATGCTTCTGTGCTGGACCATATTGTTGCTCCTGCAAAGCCAAAGAGCAGAGGCAAGAAGGCGGCGTTGGACACACCGCCAATCGACTCAGTATTACAAATCCTTGAGCGAGGTGTTCCAGTTGAGGAGCTAGATGCAGAGATTAAAGAGGCAGACGATACTCTTGTCCGTCACGCAATATCTATCATGCTCATGTATTTCATGTGGAAATGCCGGGAGTGTACCACACACGTTGAAGAAGGCACCAGTATGCCTGACGACGAGCTCATGGCGCTTGTGGAAAGGAGGGACACTTGTGTCACGACCTTAATGAGGATCATGGAGAGCCGGAAAGGCACAGATGAAGTACGACTCGACGCAGCGAATCTCCTGTTAGACGTTTACACCATGTTCTGTACACTACGGGTCAAAAAGGGCAAGGTGACAAGGACGCCTAAAAAGACACAAGGTCGCGCATCAAATAACGCCAATGACAACTGGGAGGCTCTTTGCCGCGACATCGACAGCAACACAACCAAGCTCATCTTGCAGATTCTTACGGCATGGGAAAACCACCTGGCCAAACTTACAAACAAGCGTCTTGAGGAACCAGATCTTGATGATGATCCAATCGACCCTGATGATGAACCGGAAAGTGACGAAGAGGATGCTGCGGATGAGGGCGCAGTATCGGACAAGCAAGTGCGTGCCATTCTGGCTGAGCAATCGCTCGATGCGTTCGGTGGGCGCGTCGTACATGCTGTGCTTGTTGGTGCACTTGATGGTGACGGTTCAGGCACAGTGCGCAAGCGTCTAGAGCGTAACAAGACAAAGCTCACGCCTACATGGAGGGAGGTTGTAAATCATCTCGAAGCAGTCAAGCAACGCAAAGTGACTAAGAAGGGTACAAAGGCAACTAAGGAGACTGCCAAACCAGCTAAAAGCAAAGAGGTTGTTGAAGTGGACAGCGACGAAGACGAAGAACAAGACGCTGAGAACGAAGTACCTGGAGACGAGATTGAGGACGAGGAAATGGCCGATGGTGATGAGGAGCAAATGAATGGTGTACAGGATGCGGAGGAGAATGGTGACGATGCGACAGAGAGGGATGGGGATGGCGAAGAGAGTATTCTCGGTGACTGAGTGTTTTGATATGGGCAAGATGCCTGGATTTAATTGTTTACTTTTATGATTGTGAAGCAGGTTTTGGAGCTCCGCTCTTTATCTTACATACCAAGGCCACGATTACAGCAAGGCGCTTCGGCGTTATCATGATGGGTAATATGGTACGGGTCTGGGACTGGCGGCCTTTTGTGAATTCATCATCTGCGACGTTGTTTCCACTTCACCTCTATCTAGCATGAATTTACTGCTCAAGCAAGTCTGTCCAGCGATTTTCAATACCCAGAGAGCTCTTGTACCTCACTGTATGCTCATTAAGCTTCCTCATAGGACATGTTGGAGGAGACGGGGAACAGAATCCAGCAACCTCTTGGCACACCCCGACGAACGCAATGGAAACCTGTGCGCCAGCATTAGCGCCTCGCACGGACCAGCACACACAATACGCGAATTATCGGCATCCACCGCCCATCGAGGAACTTCGTCAAGCCTACAGCAAGCCCGTCCAACACCGCCGACAACAGTCAATACTGTGAGTTGCAGCCCCATATCCGACTCTGGAAAAGCAGTAAATCTGCGCGAAAGAACAAAAGACTGATTCAAGGCAGCACACCAGGACTTACCCGCCCAACCCGCCCTTCAACCACACATCATGTCTCACGAGTCGGTCTGGTATTCCCGCCCTAGGACCTACGGCAAGGGCTCTCGCGAGTGGTACGTCGCTCCCTCTTAATATACCTATGTCCACCTCCACACACATCCGCATTCCAGTTCAGTCCACGTGGGGGAAGGCGGGCCTTTTGCGTACCATGATGGGCGCAGGGGCAACGCAGGAAAACGGGCGATTGGACATTGCAGGAAAACAAGGACAAGACATCACTTTATAGGCAAATACAGAGGCTAACACAGTACTCAACAGCCGCGTCTGCACGCACCCTGCTGGTCTGATCCGCAAGTACGGCCTCAACATCTGCCGTCAGTGCTTCCGTGAGAAGAGCGCCGACATTGGCTTTGTCAAGGTACGTTTCTGTTTCCCCTACACTCTTGCACAGCCTGGCAGATGAGCGATCGCGTCTACTACGAGGTTAAATGCGTATGGAAGGAGGCAAAGAGGCTGACGAATCTCACAGCACCGATAAATTCCCTTACCCTTTTTTCAAACGGAAATCGAACCGGAATAGAGGCGGTGCACAAACTTGACGAGATGATTACCTGACGATACGAAATGGCCACCTCGGGACCCCGGGATCTTTTCTTTTTCATTCGCAACTACTGGAAAAAAGAAGGAAAGAGGTGGATGGATTAGCATGGGGGGGGGGACGTGAGGTAAGATAGGAAACAAGAGCTGAAAATGATAGCTTTTTTTTACATGCCAATGTGTGTCGAGGGAAGCCGACGAGACGAGGTTTCTGATAATGGAAACTTGATGTTTTGACTTTCTCTCCTTCTCTATGCCGTGTCGGACATGTTTTTTTCTTTGCATTCACGCGCGAGACAAATGTGTTATCTCCGGTTCCTTGCATAAATGACAACCCAAATGCTCAATTCACAAGCTGTGCTATTTGGACTTGTGTCGTGCTGGCGTGAGCTAACGAGACAAGTTACACATAGCAATTCATCTCCACTAACGAGAGAACAAGAAGTAGACACGACCTGATCATCCATTCCGAAAATGCAAATGACCAATGTGGGGAACAGAGCTACTATGTACGGGTACGAGAGAGGGCATATATGCACATACAAAAAAAAGAGACCATGTACAAATTTGGCAACAAAGAGAGAGAAACCCGCAGCAGCAGCAGCAGCAGCAGCAGCAAAAAAAGGTCATAGAACGTTCGGGTCGTCCCATTCCCTTCTCTTTCTTTCATCGTGGTATCAAACAAGTCAAGTACACGTGTAAACCCCGCCTCATCTTGCTCTCTCTCTCTCTCGACCGTTTGCTCGCTGTCCTCATTACTTGCCTTCCGAAATCCCCTCCTCCCCTCTCTATTCCTCTCCACCCAAAAGAAAAGCAAAAAAAAACACAACCGTTCATCCTTGTAACTCATTCTCTGCCTCGTATCTCGTGTATCCCATTTCTCCTCCACACCTAACATTCCATCAACTTTGTTGTTGCTACTCTTATTAGACAAACAACAACACCGACAACAACGCAGGAAAAAATCAGCCAGACAGACAAGACAGACGGGAAAAGTGAGGAACCCCTCCCAAAAAAAGTAGGGGCTCTACTCAGCTGAAGGCATACTCTCCACCTCTTCACTAAGCGCGCGCCAGTTATCCGCCTGGAGCTCAGCGTACTTGACTCGTTCTTGCGCCCACTCCTGGTGGAGACGACTAATGTGGTACTGGGATTTCTGGAAGAAGATGAGTTCGTCGCGGATGCATTCGCGGATGAAGACGCCGCGGGCATGTTGTTGGACAATGGATTCTTTGTCCTAGATGTCAAGTTAGCCATTTTCCAAGTTTACAGCGACTTTAGCTGTGATACGGAGAGAAAAGAACAAACCTTGGAAATGGCCTCTTCGACCTTTTCCGCCTCGCCGGTCTTGGCGTCAGATTTGTTGCGGATATTGCTGAGTTTGGCCTCGTTGCTGACGATTCGTCGTTCCAGTTGGGGAATGTTGTCTTTGGCGTACTTGTCTCGTCGGTCAAACATGTCTCTTACGCTGACAAGGGTGTCTCTTTGGCGTTTGAGGTCTTCCAAGACACCTTCTTCCCAGCCTCTTGCTTCGTCTTCGAGTAGCTGTTTGCTCGAATCGAGGTGCCGTGCTGTAGCGCTTAGGCCCTCGTTCAACAACGGTACGTCGTTGGTATCCACAGCATATGTATCGTGGCTTGCCTCTGTGAGGCCACTCAGTGCTGACGAAAAGCGCAGGTATTCGGCTGCCATGCCTTCATTTCGGCGGCAGAGGCGCTCCATCATGCTGCAAAGCGTAATGTAGGCTTCGGCGCTACGTCGTACGCCTGACCTGACCGTGTCGAAGAGGTCAGGAAGGGTCTTTGGTAGGGAGTCTTCGAGATCCGGAGGAAGGGGTTTGCCGGTGAATTCTTCCTGTACAGAGAGATTGGCTTGCTTACGCCATACTGCAAGTTCCTGCTTCTGTTCAGTACAACCTAGATCTTTTTTATGCTAGGTTAACCTACCGTAGGCACAGTCAAGAACATGACAACCAATTGCTCTTGGTTGAGGACCGGGTGGCGCACAAGGGCGTTTGTGAATCGTGCCAGACCCTTTCTTCGCTTCTCGAGGAAAGTAGCATCGGCGGCTATTGGATTGCCGTTGACTAAGAACTCTCAATATTCATCAAGACCATGGGAAGGGGGATAACTTACTGCCAACCCTCTTTGGGGGCAATAATGGCAATTGCCGGAACGGATACCGCTTGTGCAAGCAGTCTAATAACCAAACGAAATCGCTGTATCGACGAACGACCTTTGTTGTGCGTCGCGAGCTGGCCACTTCGTAGTTGCGATGCTGGAACATGAAGACACCCTCCTTCTCCGAGAGGGCAGTGATGGTGATTACTTCGTCGTTTCCAGACGCGCCGGGCAATCGACCAATTAACGTACCCAGCTCCGGTGGCGCATTAGATGCACCTTCTCGACGCGTAGGAGCACCAAAGCCTCCATCTCCCATAGTCGGGGCAGCAAAAGGTTGGTTTGCACCGCCATTGTATCCTCCCCAACCGCCTTCGCTGCCTAGAGAGCTGGGCTGGACAGGTTGGGGATTTGCCGAATCGGTGGTCGATTGGGTGGTGAACTGGCTGGTGGTGCGGCCTCTGGTGTGGATGCTGGAGCCGTTGGTCTGGTGTTGTGTAGTGGTGTAATTGGCGTGGCTATGGCCTCTGTGCAGGTCAGGGCTGCCCCACGGATCCGCCTCCGGGTCTCCGAAAGATTGCTTGCGCATGGGCGCACTTGGTTTGTTTGCAGCAGGCGATTGCTGTTGCTGAGTCGGCTGGCGCTGAGGAGCTGGAGGGGTTGGGGGATGGGGGTCCTGCAGTGGTGGTGGTGGAGGAGCAGTGGATGCAGAAGCCGGAGCAGGAGCAGGCGACGAGTCGCGGGCCTTTGCAGATTGAGGAAGGGATACAGTGGGTACAGGGAGATCTGGCACTGGGTCAGTACTGGTGGGCTGCAGGTATATGCACGGCGACGACTACTGCTAACACTTACTCCGTTTTCTCTCGTCAACGCTGTCGAGGGTGATGTCCTCGTGCTCCTGGGCCAGCCCAATCAAGGCAAAGACAACATTGAACTCGTTCCTACCCAGCTCGGCGCTTCCACCGGCGGGCAGCACAATCTCGAGGATCTTGGATTGGGCGTGGGCGGGAATCCCACTGTCTGCTAATAGCTGCTTTACTCCCACAAGACTGACGCCGTTGCCATGGCCGTAGCCGGCGTCGAGCAGGGCGTCGAATGCATCAATGTACGAGTCGGGCACATCTGTGGGCGGGAGCAGCGATCTCACGAGAGCCTCGCGGCCAGCTTTCTTGGGCGTGGGGAATGCCCAGGGCGAGTCGTTGTCACCGAGGTCGTCAGCAAACAAGCTGTTGCCCGGCCTGCCCGCGGGCTTGGGATCGTCGTCGAAGAGCAACGACGATTGTCCTGGGCGCGGCGGCGTGTTGCTGTCATCGTCGCCAAAGAGAGACATGATGGGTCAGAGGAAGAGGCGCAGGGCGACTGTCTTCCGTCAAGCTGCGCGCGGTCGATATGAGGCGGAGGCTGCTGGGTCGCAGTTCAGTTTCTATGCAGTAGGTGCAGCCGCCCACGCGCCATGATAACATGGAGCTATGATGCGGCCTTGCAAGGAACCCAAGACGCCTCCACCACCCACCCCGGCCCAAGCTCTACCGAACCCCCCCAGCCTTATCGCCCTCTCTTGGCCCCCGCCTTTGCTTCATTATTCACCCATCCACTAATTTATCCATTGACGATATAACACACGTCTGCATATGTTTGAAAAAAGTCTTTGTATTGCAAGTGGCGTGCCTTTTAGCCGCTCATCCAACAACAACACTAGTTGCACATACGCAACCTACAATATGTAAAAATGCGCCATTCCGCCAAAATAAATAAGAAAAAGAGCCTGACCTCACAGTCGGCGGGTATCCAATCCCCATAATAAACACCAAATGATTCCTTTTTTTTGAAGTTCCCACTGCGCCGTCCCATGCCAATGCTGCGTGGTATCGCCCAACCACTACTCGTCCTCCAAAATACGCCATTCCAACATAAGGGTATATACGTGCTATCAACATGACAAATATAAACACAAACATATAACACACCACATCTCTTCCTCACGGCTACCTCTCGTGGTCCGTCCGGCTGTGCTGCCGAGGCACGCTAAAGTCAACAACCGATGTGCTCTCATCTTGTGCCAACCTCGTCGCTGGTGTAGACAATGACTGTCGTACCTGCGTTCCTAGGTTGTCACCACTGCTTTGCTGCTGCTGCTGCTCATGCAAGATTCCTGGCGAGAATCGAATCCGAGGATTGCGTTGAGAATGTGGTAATGACGTGGAGAGATGCGCAACTTGACTAGAATCAGTCGCTTCTATGTCGGCTGTCGTCGCTGGTCGTCCAAGCTGGGTGCTTGCGCTGGTAAACGCTTCCTCTTGCTGAGCTTCTTGTTGTTGCTGACGGATAATGTCTGGAGACCAAGTCTGTCCACGAGGTTGTGCAGGAATAATAGTCACGGGTAGCTGCATGTCCTGTTGCGACCCATTCCTCTTCTTGGACCTTAGCTTCTCGCTTTGCTGTGCGGCAAACGTGCCGAGTCGATCTCCCAGAGCCAGTCCATTGTAGGTGCGTGGTGGTATGTTTGCAGCCACATCGTCGACTCCAAGTGGTTCAATCACCTGGCCTCTTTGCAGCTCCCGAGGTGGCGTCTTTCCCTTCCTGCGGAAGGCATTGCCGAGTGCTTGCCACTGCCACTTGCCTTTGTTGGTATTGATACTGGCCTCTTCAATTTCAGCACCCTTTTCGGGATCTTCTAAGTCGGCTGGTTGGCTTGGTAGTGGCTTTTGTTCTTGTGGTTGCAGTTGCGATTGCGGTTGTGGTTGCGCCTCGTAATCTGCTATCCGACGCTCTGCAGGTGCAGGGTGGGGTAGTGGTGGTGTGTCACTGATAGG